GAGACTAACCAATCAGATGTTAGCACCTGGTCGTCACTGTTCAGATTAACCAATCAGATGTTAGCACCTGATCATCACTGTTCAGATTAACCAAACAGGCTTTTTTGTCCCATTTTGTGTTTTCCTCTATTTTGTTTAGCGTCTGTTTTTGTTTTGTGATGCAGGGTGTCACTACTGCACCTTGCCTGGCCTGGAACTTACAGAGTTCTTCCCCGCTGGAACTTACAGAGTTCTTCCCCTGGAACTTACAGAGTTCTTCCCCTGGAACTTACAGAGTTCTTCCCCGCTCTGCCTCCCTGATGTCTGCACCACCATAGTCTGCTCAAACTAACAGAATCTTTAAAGCTTTCTTTTGAGACAATTGAGGAGATTTAATATTACCTAGATAAATGGATGGTCAGTGGATTATTTTGGTGTGAGGATAATAATAAGGTTACATTGATGAAATTCTTGCCTTTTCAGAAATACTCAAAAAATATTTATGGAGGAAAGGACAGGATCTAAGAGGGGCGAGAACAATAAGATGGTAAAGATGAAGTGAGTTAGTTATGACAGAATTACTACAAATAATCACCGCAGAGGCGAGTTACAATGTTCTCTCTATGAAATGGAATAAATTAGCATTTGAAAAATGGCACACTACTCGGTGTGGTGGCATACACCTTTAATCCCAGCACTCAGGAATCAGAGGCAAGAGGATTTCTGTGAGTTTCAGGACGGCCTATTCTATACATCAAGTTCATGGACAGTCTGAACTACATAGTGAGAACCTGTCTCAAAAAAAAAAAGAGAGAGAGAAAGAAAGGAAGGAAGGAAAGAAGAGAGGGAGGAAAGGAGGGAGGGAGGGAAGGAGGGGAAAGGAAGATAGAAAAGAAAGAAAGAAAAAAGGACAAAGGCACAGATAGTAATAACAGTCACCATAACTTATACCTCATGGGAAAGAAGTACCGTCTTAAATAGACTCACAGCTATGCACAGAAAATGCATAGCTTTCGGCTTCCTTTAATCTCATTTTTTTTTAAAGCTGACTCGGGAACAGATATTGAGTCACTGTAAGGAAGTCAACTGTCCTAAAACTTTCTTAGTTACTGACTGCAGTAGACACGTGCCTGGACCCTATGGAAAAGGAGCTGGGGTTTACATCCCTTGTCCTGACCAGGTACCCTAAGGGAGCTTAGCAGAGGGAACCAAGGTGAAGGTGAATTTCACACTGTGGTCTCAAATGCTTGCTCTTTTCCTACTTGGAAGTTTTTCTTTCCTGGGAGGTCAAATTTGGTAGGATTAGCTGTCACCTGCAGGGATTTGTTTCAGTGCCTGGACATATGAAGTCAACCAAGCTTAACATTAGCAACTCAAACATTTCCGTGTAGATTGTAATCATATGTTGATGTCAGAAAATTTCCCTGAATATTCTCTGTAAATGCTGAACAGTCTCCCACAGGTCCCATTTTAGAAGACACCATTCATTTCAGCTCGCAGCCAGTCTTAACTCTGTTGAAGCCAGTGTTTGTCCCTCGTTTTTTGGTGCGGCTGTAGGCTGTCTACCATCTGTCACAGACCCAGAGGAGTATTGGTGCCTGAGTTCTGTGTCTAGAGATGAAAGCCTTTCAGGATCCTAAGCTAAGTTCAGTAGATATGCAGGGGCCCGCTGATTCCCAGTTTCAAACTTCTTCCTGGCACTTTTTAAAATCATTCTTTATCTTTTTTATTACTTTATAAATAATACCAATAAAAATTCTCATTTACTCCCCACTTCCCTCCCGCTCCCCCACACCCTCACCCCCCTCCAGTTCTAAGAGAGGGCAAGGCACTCTGTCCTGTGGAGAGTTCAACACACACACACACACACACACACACACACATACACACACACACACACACACAGGCACCCCGTCCTGAGCAGCAAGTAGCAGGTGGGAGAGCAAATGACTTTGGGGACTGCTCCAAGGGCCCAAGACGGGAGGAGGTGACTCTGGGCATGTGGGTTGGATGTGGGGGGAACCTCTCCTTCTCCAGGGGGCCAGGTTCTTTGGAGGAACCAGAGCAAAAATCTTTCAGGAGGAACGAACTCCTTGACTTCTTTCCTGGTTCCTTCCTAGCTATTTTGGTTCTAGTGACCTGGTGGGCTCCTGGTCTTGACCTTGAGCCCCCCCTCCCCCCCCCCCACGGAAGGTCTGGGGCCCTGACGCTGCCTGTCTCCTTAGGAGGCTATTTCTCCTAGTTGAAAAAGTTCTCCTCTGCAAACGTGTGTTCTATGGTGAGTGTTTCTCGGTGAATATTAGAGGCACCACCGTGAGTTCAGTGCCTGGTGCACTAGGTGTAGGGGGCCGAGAGCAACCAGTGATATATTGCATTCATTCCTAGAAGGCAGAAACTCTGACAGTCGCCTCCAGCTCCCTGTGGCGGCTGGTGGGAATGGTCCGCACTTGATTCTGGACACATCCAGTCTGTAGCATGTAGGGACGGCTTGTTGGGGTTTCTGTCCCACCCGGTACCCCATAGCCGGCATATCCCAAACTAATAAGTAGCCTGACCTAATGGGCCAATCAGTTTATAATCTTATGGAGTCCTGTGTGTAATTTTCTTTGAGGCTTGCGGGCTGTGGGGTACTGGGTGGGACAGAAACCCCAACAAGCCAGCCCTCATGCTACACCAGTCAGTTCTGTCCCCAGAAGATTCTCCAACCTTCGCGGTCTCAGAAGCCACTTGGTTTTTAAAGCCCAGCCCAAGACGCCCACCGGTGCTACCTGTTAACCCAGAACCGACGGCTGAGGCTCCGCGTGGACCTGGAGGAGGCGGTGCGGTGACCAGACTGAGCACACTGCGTCCCAGCCACGCGCCCCGGAGTGTTCCAAGGATTTGGCGTTGTGGGGACGCCCGGTCTGTCGGAGTCGGCTGCTGGCGCGCGGGGCTTCTTGCGCGTTCGCGGGGTTCCTGCGGGTTCTCAGGAGCGGACACCACAGCAGCACGGTTCCCTCTGCCAACTGGCCGCTCGCGGTGCAAGTCGCACCCAGAGGAGGTCCGCGCTATCCCAGTCCTCAGGGCGCTCTGACCTAGTGGACCCCTGGGACGACCTTCATCACACCCGCAACCCCAGCAATGGTCTCAGTGCTAAGATTTCAATAGAGAAGCATTACAATTTAGGGACCGGCCTGGGCCAGGCTCTGGCGGCTCGTCCTCATGTTGGGCTGGGTTCGGGCGCTGAAGAAATGGGAATTCGGCGCGCTGGAGCCCAGCCAGGAATCATTCCTGTCCAGGGGTCGTCTACAACACGAGCGGGGTGTGGGGGGTGTGGGGGGATTGGGATTGAGAGGGGGCGTTGGGGACTGTGTTAACTGAATATCTGAAGGTGACCAGACTTAAGACATCTTTGCAAGAAAGAGTAAAACGGGACATCGGAGAAGTGGAAAGAAGAAGGACCCTTATCTTTTTGATCTGCTTCTAAACTCTCAGACTGCTGCTGGCCACCGAAGGTGTGGTATTTTGAGGACCGAGGGGCCGGGGACCGGAGGCCAAGTGGAGGAGAGCTGCCTGCTTGAATGCTCAAAACTACCAAGGTCTGAGTTTAGGAAGGTCCCACAAAGCACTCAAGTCGGAAAGGGTGGGTGAACTGTGGGAGTTCTGGGCTCCGGAGTGTCAGCAATGAGATGTGGACTTCCTTCCAAAGGATGGGGAGTACAGACGGTTTCCTTCACTCAGAGTCGCTTTCCCCCAAAGCCTCGAATTACAGAACCCACTTCCCATTGACCCAACCTCTAAAATCCCGCCTTTTCTGACAGTCGTAGGCCGTGGGCATCATCTTGTTTTCTTTGCACCCTGAAGCTGAATCACTGTTGCAAAGTCCTCTTGGAAATTGTTTTTCAAGGAAAGGGCCATGAAAACGCTAGTATTTTAAATATACCTGAGAGCCGTTTATTTTCCAAGAGTAGACGCTCTTTGTTTCAAATTGCTCTCCACTCATCCTTCTGTTTATCTCAGAAAACTAATCAACTTTAGAAAAATAGCGAATAAACTAGGCATAACGCTGCATGCTAGGAATTCTGGAGGCGGAAATAGGAAGATCGCTGGTTCCAGGCCACGAAGATCTACCCCACGGAAATTATCCAAGAAAAAAGAGAGAGAGAGAGAGAGAGAGAGAGAGAGAGAGAGAGAGAGAGAGAAGGAAGAAAGGATGGATGGGGGTGAGAGAGAATGGAGGTTGTATTAATTCCTCTATTTTCCTTCTAGAAGTTTCGTATCTATTAAAGTATTTTATAAGATAAATTTTCAACCACAAATATTTGGAATTTTTAAGACCCATACTTAAAATGTCATTCCTGGAATCTATAATGGATATAAAGCATTAAAACGAATTGTGAGTTAAGAATGTAATTTTCAAAGAAATTCCATTTATGAAAAGGAATAATGAGACATAATAGGAAACAAGCGATGTAGTATCCTGATTTAGTATTTTATTCAATCTACACGTCTAGGCTTAATTTTAACACTCCCCACTGGAATAGGGCTTGTCACATATACAAGAAATAAATGTTTCAGAATTATTCTATTTATATTACATACAGATTTGGGGGATCAGAGCGTGTATGCATTCTGCATTTGACTGGGGACCACTTGCAGTCCCTAGGGAATGAAGATGGGGTGTTTTCTGATGCCAGCTTTTCTGTTTTTTATTAACAACAAAACATCGCACTCACGTTCATAGTTCATAGGTCCCTGGGAAGTATGCAAATCGGAAACGCCATGGAAGCCACAACTGAAGAGGACAAGACAAGGCGAGACCTGAAGCTCCCAGATTTCCCTGCATTCGGGTCATCAAGAGAGCAGAACACAGAAGTAGTAATAGTTTGGAGGGACTTACTGCATGCTCCGCTGCTGGTTTTCCACGCACAAGTCTAGCAGGTGAGTGGTGTAAACCTAGACAGCGGAGTGGTTCCGCCCTACCTCTTGACTCCAGGTGTGTGCCAGGGTGAATCAGTCTGGAGGCTGAGCGTGGACATTGTTTAAAATGCAGGCAAGGTCCCCTCTCTGCCCGAAAGAGCGGCCAGAGGTGTCAGTCTGCAGTCCTCGGCGGCAGGTTGATGCTTCAGCAGCGCAGCAACGGCCGACAGGTGCCGGCCCAGCCTCGCGCCTTTACCTGGAGCGCAGCTCCTGGAACAGTGCTGCTGCTGCTGCTGCTGCTGCTCCTGCTGAGGCTGCGGCTGCAACATTGTCCGGGCGGCGGCGGACACTTGCAGCAAAGGGGAAACGGCTTGGGGGTGCAGCAGGCACGCTGGGTGCTGCAGCAGGTGGCAGTAGCTCCACGGAACCGAGGGCGGACTCTGCACAGCCCCAGTTCCTCCTCCTCTGACCCCCTGCATGATGCTCTCGATGGTGAACGAGGTACACCCTCGTCCGGGCCGAGATCTCGCGTCCTCGTCCCCGCTCCAAGGCTGGGAACCCAGTGCAGGTGACAGTGCGGGGATGGCACGGGGTGCGGCCGGGTCCGCATCTACGGCTTTTCTAGGCGCTTCGGCATAGGCGGGGGTGGAGAGTAGCAGGTAGCGGAGAGGATGCGGGTGCAGCGGCATGCCGGGGCGGCTCCCAGGCGAGGCGGTGGGACGGGTTCCGAGGCCGGGTTGCGGCGGGGCAGAGTAGCGGAGCAGGAGGCTTGGGTGGGAGACATGCAGGGTTGCGGGCACAGCGGGTGGAGTAAAGGGACAGTGCGGGTGGCCTCCCGGGGGCGGGTGGTGGCGCTTGAAGCGCTTCCTGCGCCGGAGGAAGCTACCATTGTCAAACATGTCCTGGGAGGCGGGGTCCAGGCTCCAGTAGTTGCCCTTGCCCGGGTGGCCCGGCTCGCGGGGGATCTTGACGAAGCAGTCGTTGAGCGACAGGTTGTGGCGGATGCTATTCTGCCAGGCGGGGAACTTGCGGCGGTAATAGGGAAAGCGACCGCTGATGAAGGCGCAGATGCCACTGAGTGTCAGGCGCTTGTGCGGGCTCTGCAGGATGGCCATGGTGATGAGCGCAATGTAGGAGTACGGGGGCTTGGCGGGCTGCGGACCGTCAGTGGCGGCGGTCGCGGCTGTCCGCGGCGCTCGGAACTTGCGGACGATCCCGGAGGAGTTGCTCAGGTCGCCGCGGTCCCCCGTGCTCCTCCGGGGAAGCGAGCGGGCCCCGGATCCCGGCAACTGTGGCTCCAGGCACATCTGGCTTATCTCCACCTTCTCTTCCTCATCCTCCGTCTGGTCTCCATCGTCCTCCTCTGCCAGCACGTCGATCTCAGCCTCATCCCGGTTGGAGCTTAGGGGACTGGGCTGCGGAGTGGAGCAAAGGCGCCCAGCTCTTGCCAAGTTCATGGAGGATGGGAGGGAGAGGAGGGATGGACGTGGTGGCAGCTCACCTGGTTTGGGGTGGGTGGGTTAACTGGGACGCGTCTGCCAAGAAGATGGAGGCCTCCTTAGTTAGACTTTCTTGTTCCTTCTGTTTCTTCTTTACAACACCGCGTGACAAGGTGCACTTAGTGTTCTAAGTTTCTCTGAGACGTATGCGGTGGACTCTTCGCTATATATCCCCCTTCCCGTTCCCGAGTGGGACTGCTTCCTCCTGACGCGGTCCAATGGTGAGGGTCCTCGGATCACCCTTCATACCCACCCACAACCAAGGAAAGATGCTCTTGGTTTAACCAGCCAGAGTGCTCTGGCGTTGTCTGGGCTCAGTTAATTTTGCTCTAAGACTGCACAAGTAAGCTTCAGGGAGGAAAATCTGAAACCCAAAGACCTGTCACCACATCGATATTCAGACCGACTGGCTCTGGCGCGGGAGAGGGTAAAGGAATGTATTTCAAACAGAATGGTTCACTGATTTAATGCTATATGCCCCGTTCAGGAGAAATGGCCCCTGGCCTCCACGCAAGTGTCTCCAAATGTTCTCCCTAACTCGATTTCCCAAAAGATGAAAATACCCTAGCATTAAGCTGTGGAAGTTCAGAGTGGATTTTAAAAGGTCAAAAACAACAAAAAAGATAATATTTCCTTAGTTTCTTTACAGTCCCAATTCACCAAGTTTTTAATATTTACCCAGAGAAACAAAGGTGCATACAAACAGATAAGCCTAGAAGAGACTTCTTCTGAAAGCAATATACTTGCACCCCAGTGACAGCTGATAATTTTCTTTTTTCCTAATAGTCTTGATCATCTACACTGAGTTCACCATTTAAATACTATTTTACCAAAGTAGTCCTATAACTAAAGGAATGCCCTCAGTGTATGGGTGTATTTGCCTACCTGCCAGTCCTTATCCCTACCTACGACCCCCAACATCCCTACGACCCCCAACATCCATCCAGAAACAGGACCGGCTTTTACTGTAGTAATAGAGCTTGAAACTTGAAACTAAACTGGGGAAGGGCTGGACTTCAGCATCCCTGCTACTAGATACAACTGAGACCATCCACAAGCATCCACACTGCAGGGCAGGACGGCAGCCCCAGGACCCTCCTGAAGGCTTTTGGAGTATCTAAACTTTTAGATTGTTTTCATGTAAATTAACCTAGCAACTAAAGTAGCAATGTGGTAGGATGTGTTTGTTAAGTAAATAGAGATTGAGGGTAAAATACACCACCATGGTGCATACGGGGGAATCCCTGGGGTGGAAACTAACAAAACACAGTATGAAAAGATGTTTCTCTTTTTGGAGAACAGCTCCCTTCCAAGCCTTTGAGTTAAGCTTTATGCTCTGTGGAGGTTTTTACCCTCCGAGCTCTCTATTTTGTGCAGCTTGAGGCAGAACAAACGAACAGATTTGGGCTTGACAGATTTGCTTTTGAATTCAAAACTGACCAAGGACTATTTGTGTGATTCTAAACTGCAGGAGGGCAGGGCAGGTGTCTCATTCAATCTGACTCGCCCAGAAGCTGCCCTCACTGCTGCTGGAGGAATGCAGTGCCCTCTTCCAGATTACCTGAGAGAAAGAGTATTGTTAGTTTTCCTAAAGTCAGCCTCTGTGGGGAATTGGGTTATTTACAAATGAAAGGGTGTAAGGATGTACTCAAAAACAAAACAAAACCCCCACAATCTGGGTGAATCTCAAATGTGACCCAAGAGTCAAAGCTGGGGCAATCTGTGCAGTCACAGCAGCTGGGTTATAACTCAATGTCTAAAATATGTTTGTGTGTCCACATTGCTAAAAATAAATGATTAAATAAATAAATCTCTCTTGCAGAATTTCTAATGACTTGCATAGCTTTTCAAGATGGAGCCTAATTCTCAGCTACTTTTATGTGTGAACTGCCCATGTGATTTTCTCCCAAAAAAGTACAGTAGAAAGAGGGAAGGGGTAGTCTTTCTTGTGGAGAAATCTAATCAAAACCTCAGTCAGGGGATGTCCAGTGGTCACGCCTGTGAGAGATTGTCTTGACTGGTCACTCACTGGGGCAGGGAGGTGGGCCTGGACTGTGTAAGAAAGCAAACGTAAGCATAAGCCAGCCAGCGTTGCTCCACCGTGGTTTCTGCTCCAAGCTTCTGCATGGACTTCCTGCCCTGACTTCACTCACTGATAGATTATTACCTGGAAGGTAAATTGAAATAAACCGCTTCCTCCCCTAAGTCACTTCTGGTCAATGATTTAACACAGCAAACTAGAACATCGTGCAAGGGACCTATAAACAGAAGGACCTAAAAACCCAAGTATCTGTCAGTTGATCATATAGAGTATGATGCAACCATACAATGGAATATTCTGTTCCATATTGTTCAGCAATACGGAAAGAAGTACTCCTACATATTCATCCAAGTGGGTCTCGAAGAAACATGCTTAGTTAAAGGAGTTTGAATACACAACTCTTCAGAGATTAGTGTAACAGACATGGGAAATACTTGCTAAGGGACATGGGTTTCTTTAGTTGTTAATTATAATGTTCTGCAATTAGCTATCAGTAATAGCTAACTGTGGACTGTTTACTTTAGTAAAGGTGTCAATTGTATGGGACTATGAATTGAATAAAACAAAGAGCTATAGCAATGAAAACTAAGTTGAATGTCCTGGGGAAAGTCCATTGTGGTTCCTCATTCTGAAGAACAAAACTAAAGACTCTCACTGCTCCACCTCATTGATGTTGCTTAAGCTTAGAGTCTTCCTTTCCTTTCCCTTTTCTTAGCTCCTAGACATTGGAAGTGATCCTAGGACAGTGGGCATCCAACAGAGCTTGGGGATCAACACCCCAGAACAACGGTGATCAACTCTTCAAAGATTAAACAACTTTGCTGTCATTGTTTTTTCTTCAGAACAAATACTAGTTTAAAAAAGTCTCATTCAGAGAAAACAACAGCATTTTAAGACAGACTTCAATGTTTTCAACATCATGCCCACAAATATAAGGCATTCTAAATATGGAAAAGTCCTTTCAAAGCAATCTAAATATACAATTCTTCCACCTAGACTGGTAAGCTAAAGGTAGGAATTACCCAGTTCACAGATCGCCACCAAGCCCTACTATCATTGAGTATTGGTCATCATTGCTTTAGAAACCTTTAGTTTGTTAATTACCTTCAATTTAGTCTAGGGATTAAAGACATAAATTTTTTATTTTTTGTTTAAATAATTTTTGGTGCTGGAGATTGAACCACATATGCTCTACTATGGAGCTATATCCTCAAACCCAAAAAGATTTTAAAATCTTTTTATATTTCGTATATATTACATATATTTTATATATTATAAATATCTACTTATATAAGTAGATATTAATATATTATATACTGTCATATAATATAAATATATAAATGTGTTATTTATTTTATTTATAGGTTGTATCATATCTAACCTATATTAATATATTACATAGTATTATATAACATTAAATATATAAAATATTTATAAGTCTTTCATAAATAAATAATTTATTTTATAAGTCTTAGGTAAACCATATCTAAACCTTGATCACCATTATCAGAATATCCTGCAAGTCTCCCATAGCAAAGAGTGGCCCACATTATTTTTATATGTAGGTATTTTTTAGTTTATTAAGAATTAATAAACACTACAGGAGTTCCAGGACAGGTTCCACAGTTTCAGAGACTCCCTGTCTCAACCCTCCCCCCAAAGAATTAATAAACAGCTTATTAAGAATAAAGCCCTCTCTTGCATAGACCTCAGAGCCTTTAGGAGAGGGGTGTGACAGACATCCCACTTATGGCTGAGCACTCCAAATTCTCTTTCTCTTTACGTGTTGTTCATCTAATTGTCTGTGTCAATTATCATCTACTGCAAGAAACTTCTCTGGTGAGGGTTGATAGATATACTATCTATGCATATAGCAAATGACACCAGGAGTTATTGTTATGTTTCTTTAGAATAGTAGTAGTAGTATGTTTTCCCCTAAGGCACAGGACCTCTCTAGTCTCAGGTTCTTGGTCTCATTAAAAGTATCAGGTATGGGTTCCAACTCATGAAATGGGCCTTGAATAAAAAAAACTGGTCCTCCAATAAAATTTGTGCCACTATTGCACTGGTCTGTCTTATAGGCAGGTCATTATAGCAATCAGGGTTCATAGTTGGGTGAAACTGACAACTCCCCTTCTTCGCTGGTAGCATGCACAGAACCTTCCAGCACTGTAAGTGCTAGCCAGTAGGGAGGGAAGCACCAGCTTGGTTTTTCTATGTTCTGTGTCCTCAGCAGTAGGGCCTTACCATCAGGTTGTGCAGAGTAACCAGAAGCATTTCCAATAGTCTGTGATGTTTGGGGATCTATAGGACCACTTCGGTGGACCACATTATTGATACATTACAAAAAACAAACAAAAGCCCAACTCCTTAGAATAGCTAAAGCAAGGTACGAGTCTCCAGAAGGTACAGTTAAAAATAAGACTCTGATCACTGGGAAATCCTTCATTGTGGGAAAAATTAAAAGAAAAAAAAAAGCAGAACAATATACCAAGTAATAAAAATAATATGCAGTACAAAATAAAACGGTGATATGCTTGTTCCCTTAGATCAACAAACGCTGAAATACGGTTTTATTGTATTTAGGAAAATAGGGACTTTCATACATTAGTGAATGAAAGGGAAAGATAAAGATTTGGAAGGGCAATTAATCAGTATCTACTGAAAATTTAAATGTGCAAATCCTACACAGTAGTGACTTCCCACAGATACTCTAGAGAAACATTCATACAGAGGTGGCAGCTGCTTGACTTCACCTCTCAGCTCCCATGCTCTAGCTGCACCCAGTGTCTTTAGAGTAATCCGAGGACCCATGAGATGACCCAGGGAATAAAGCCAATGACCTGAGTGCCACACCAGGAACTCATGTGAAGGAGAAAGATGATCAATCCCATAAAGCTGTCCTCAGATCTTTACACGTGTGCCACAGTCATAGTTCCCACCCATCCAAATAGCCACTTTTTAAAGTATAATCTTGGCATAGTGACATGCCTTTAATTCCAGCACTTGGGGATAGAGTCAAGCATGCTTGAGGCCAGCATGATCTAAATAGCAAGTTTCAGCCCACCCTGGGCTATACAGTGAGACCCTACCTCAAAAAAAAAAATCCAAACGTTTATTTTTGCCCCACAAAGAACAGCAAACTTGGCCGTTCTGTATTATGCCCTTGCTTTTTAACATTCAGCCACCCTTGCCTCAAACCACACAGCTCCTATTCTCTTATTTATGTTCGCCTTTCCACCAGACAACATGGTTTGAGAACTTGGCTTTATTCATTGTGTGCCATTATTGCCCAAGCACAGATACCAAGCAAATTTGAGAGCATTTGAGAAACTGTTGAAGCATGAATGTATTCTATGTTGTACTCTGAATTTATATGAATCAGTTAAAGAACAAAGTTTATTTGGAGCGTCACAGAAATGTCATAAACTGCACTATCACATATGCTTTAATTAACACAGAAATGATAAATCTTCAGGCTATCTGTGTCAAGTTTTAAAAAAAAAGTACTTTAGACTATGACTCTGATTTCTGGAAAATTATTCACCTTGGAAACACAATGCATAAGCAAAAAGACTTCTGAGTGACCGGGATGGAAAGGGGGGGCCCATAGTTTTAAACCAGTGTATGTGTGCAATCCCTGTGCAGTGAGAAACACTTGAAGGCAAAGCACACACATGCGTCTTACAGAGATAGGCTGTTAAGCGCATCACCAGCTGGAGAGCACACTTGTTCTTGCACAGGACCTGATGTGGGCTCCCAGCACCCACATCCAGCAGCTATCAGGGATCCTGGACCTGGCAGCATGGGGCAGTGCACTCATAAATGTGCATTCCCACACACGATACACACATATACAAAAATAAAACTAAAAGTACATTTTTAAAAAGCATAGAGTACTATTTTATGCATTTTCCCCCACAAGATATACAAGCTACAAGTTTCTTTTCATGTTCCAGAACACGTATGTTTAAAAACTTATTTGCCAAGCAATATTATTATGGCGTTTAAAACATAATTTTTATAAATAAACTTAAAAGCCCAGACCTGCCTGAAATATTAGCTAGCTTTCTACTGAAAAACTCATTGTCATAAAATAAATGTATTTTCTAAAACATGAACTACGAGAAAGGATTTCAGAGACAAGTGAGTGCCAAGAAAAACTTTAAAAATGACAGTAATGCTAAGGAAGGCCAGGCTCTCCCTCACTGATAGGCCCGTAAGAAAACAACAGCAAAACCCAATCTGAGATCTTAATGAATTAGCCTCCCCTTTGCAGCCAGTATAACCATTCAGTGTTTGGGAGGCTGAGGCAGGAAGGTCAGGAGTTCCAGGTTTCTCTAGCTAACACGGTGAGACCCTTTCTCAAAAGTAATTAATTAAGCTAATTAATTAATTAAATTCTGGGGGTGGGTGATCCCTAAAGTCATTTTAATAGCATTCTTTGGTATTCAACTAATAGTCTGGGAAAGCTCTTCATGATATGCCACCTGTACAATCTGATCAGTTAATGCTGGCTTGGCTTTTAGTCAGAATAGGAGAAAACTGAGTTATTGCATGCGCGCACACACACACACACACAAATCATTAACTATCAAAAGTTATCTGAGAGGTTGGAGGGCTTGCTAGACAATTAAGAACTCTTATTGTTAGGCTAGGGCCACAGCACTGACCCTGCCACCACCAACATGGAGACTCTACCCTCTACCAATTCTAGTTCTTCCTGCTCGAATGCCCCCACCTGAAGCTAAAGAAGCCATCTGGGCTGTACATGCCACTGGCCATGATGGTGTATGCCCTGGCGGGGTCTTTATTACAAGTCACAGGAAGAATAATCTATGATTTTATTACTGAGTCTCCAAAGACAGACTCAGTGTCTGATAAACACAGACACCAGAGGTCATTGAGTAAGCAGACAATATATTATGAAAGGACATAGGTGGCTTAGGTTAGGACCTGGATCTCAATGCACCAAATATTCCAAAGCTCAATAGGATTTTTCTTCTCTTAGTTGGCTATGTCTGTGACATGTTACATTTTTTCATGACTACTGTATTCATGAGAACGAAATTGCCAGATTATCTGGTGGGCAAATGCTTTTAAGGAATCAGTGGATCCTGAATTTATTCCTATTAACGAGGTTTTAGAGGCGGAACTATTTCCCTGTGCAATGTGGAAAAGAGTGAAGAGCACAGTAAAAACAGCACTGAATGACACCCTAGCGGGCTCATTAAGGTTCAGACTGGAACCCCTTGGTATCAGAGCTCCTTGCAGCACTTTTCCTGCTGATCTAGTCTGTACCAGCTACCATGGCATCCACTACACTAACAGCATTTTCTAAAACTATAATATTGAATAAAGTGATTGGTTTTTTTGTTTTACAACCCCTTTGTGATGGTTAATTTTGTTTGTCAACATGACTACATCTGAGTCAACTAAAACCCAAGCTGTTGGGTATGCCTGTGAAGGGTTTTTCTTGATTGGATCCTTTGAGATCAGAAGATTCATCCTAAATCTGGGCCACCTCTTCTCTTGGCAGTCCAAATAAAGGACACGGAAGAAGCTTTTGTTGTTTGCCAGCTTGGCCTCATTTTCTCTGGCAAGCTCATCTACCCTGATGCTGAGACATTCCTTTGCTGGTATTAGAACCGACTTCTTTGGGATCCCCAAAATATATTAAAGACCAACTGAGAATCCAGCCGTGTGGACTGAACGACTGCAGGATTCTTCCTATCAGGGGATAACCATTGTTGGCATTCTATCAGTTCTGTGCCTCTAGAGCAGTGGTTCTCAACCTGTGGATTGCAACCAAATGGAGAAGTCAAATGATTCTTGTACAGAGGTGGCTTATCAGATATCCTGTACACCAGATATTTACATTATGATTCATAACAGTAACAAAATTACAGTTACGGTTAGGGGTCACCACAACATGAGGAACTGTATTAAAGAATGGCACCGTTAGGAAGGTTGAGAACCACTGTTCTAGAGAACCTTAACTAACATACCCCTAGCCATTTTTTGGACAAGGTATTTCAGATTTTCAGAATTAATGTAAATTGAGAAGATTCTGAGGTCTGAGATGTTTGGGCAGCTGGTTAGTTCCTCCAGTGGTCCTTCACTTTTAAACAATCTGTGTGGTATTAAGCAATTCAGAAACATGCAAGAATGTTTCCTGGACAATAAGATGCATGAAAAGAGCATAAATAATTTTTTTCTAATTAGAAAAAAAATCTCTTACCATTCATGTACAGAAGACCTGAATTCAGTTGCCAGCGTGCACAGCAACGCACAACTGTATGTTACTCCAGTTTGAGGAGGTCTTGATGCTTTTTTTCAGGTCTCCACAGAACCAATACACATGTTCACATATGTGAACATACATATATATATAAATTCTAGAAATCTTTTTTTAAAGTTATCTGTAAGGCCAGCAAGATGGCTAAGCTACAGGTAAAAGCACATGCCATAAACCTTTGGTAACTAGAATTCAGACTTCTTTTGAGTTTATAATCCCAGCTCTGGCAAGTCCACAGTGAGCCGGGAGACAGGGAGTTGGCTGCAAGTTCCAAAGGCTGGTGTGCACAGCACAGTAACAGAAAGAAGTCTCAAAACAAGGTGGAGGGAGAGAACTGATTCAAAAGTTGTTCTCTGATCTACACGTGTTTATTTACGTGCGAGCGCGCGCACACACACACACACACACAGTTATCTGCAGTTATGGTACGACTACTTCTCGGATTATACAGAAAACTAACACAATTCAAAATAGGCAAGATAAATTTAATGCCAGCAATAAAGCTACAGTTTAACATTCCACAATTATAATCTTCTAAGCATAATACAGGGAGGGAACAAAGAGCCAAAGTATCATTACACTATCAGTACGGTTTGGCACTGATTCTAAGAGACAGTTTAATTTCTTCGACTCAGATTTTCTCCTCTTTAAGTCTTTAGGAACACTAGAGATTCAGTCCATTAAAAACATTAAAAACTACAGGGCTGGAGAGACGGCCCAATGGTTAATGCTGGCTGCTCTTCCAGAGGACCTTCCAGTCCCAGAGGATCCAGCGCCCTCTTCCGGACTCCTCAGGCAATAGGTGCACACGGTGCACAGACACACATGCAGGCAAAGCACCCATCCACATAACAAAAATAAAGGGTAAGCTGAGCTGTGGTGGCACACGTCTTTTACCTCAGCACTTGGGAGGAAGAGACAGGTAGACCTTTGTGAGTTCAAGGCTAACTTGGTCTACAGAGCAAGTTCCAGGACAGGGTCCAAAGCTACAGAGAAACCCTGTCTCAAAAAACAAACAAAACAAAACAAACAAAAAAAGATTAAATATTTTTAAAAATACAATGACAGCATTTGTTACTTTTGTTACTATCAATACAAGGAAAATTAAAATGTTAAAGTTTGCCACATTTTTACAAATATAAGGAAGCATAAGTTGTCAGTATTCATGCTTAAACTTGAAAGAAAATTCTGGAATTGTTGTGAAATATTGTCTCAAAATAACCGTTCAGAGGATATATTTTATTATATGAATATCAAATATTTTATAATGATTTACTAAAACCTCATGTATTTTATAAAATAAATACTATCATAAAGTACACTCCTAACTCCTAACAGAGGTAATGAAAGAATTCAGGATTGAAATGCATCCAGTAGGAAACTGATTCTTGTTTTTCTTATCAGTTCTTTTGGTAAGAAATGGCTTCTAGTGTGATGGACAAACTTGATCTTTGCCAGGTGCTGTCCTCTGCTCTTCTGTTTCTGCCACAGCAGTGAGGAAGAGTTCCTTAAGAACTTCCTTATCTAAATTCTTGCCTGAGAATAAAACAAAACAGTGATTACACGAGGCTTACTAAAACAACATCTTGATTTCCAGAGTGTTTAAATACACGGTGTTCTCAGTAACTGCATGATTCCTTCTACAGCTTTCTAGTTAAGCCTCAAATCCAAGTTAGCATTTGAAGTAACCACTTTTCTAAGTCATCTGAAGAACAAAGTTCTAGCAAAATCTTACATTATCTGTGATTCAGACAAATACACAAGCTTATTTAGTTAATACTGGTTCAATAGCACATTATATCTCCTACAAGCCTATCTCTGTGTATTTTTCTTTAGATATTTTGTTACTTACCAATAAAGACCAGTTGACTTCTTCTCTCAGCATCATCCTTCCAGCTTACAAGGCTCTCTTCCAGGTCATACAGTTCATGGATGCCTTGCACAATCATTTGCTGTGGTTTGTCTTTGATGGATACTAGTCCCTGCTCAAAGAACAATGATCACTCAGTTCTATCTCAAATTTGCAAGCAGAAATAATACAGCAAATTTGAAAATATTGTTTTTCAAAAGATAATCTCATAATAAAGGTAGGAATACCTGATTCAATTATTTGCTTATTTTAAGTTTTTAAAAGTTCTAATAATTTTGAGTATACTGACCTCCCCTCCCCAAGACAAGATTTTTCTGTGTCATTGTGGCTCTCCTGCAACTCCCTCTGTTGACCAAGCTGGCTTCAAACACAGAAATCTGCTTGTCTTTACCTCTTGAGTGCTGGGATTAAAGGCGTGCACCACCACACCTGTCTACTTCTTCTCTTTTCTGTTTTGTTGTCTTGCTTTATTGAGATAGGGAATTGCTCTGAAGCCCCAGGTGGCTTGAAACTCACTATGCAGGCCAGGCTGGCCTCGAACTTACAGAAATTCACTTTCCTGACTGTACATCATGCCTAACAATGATAACTTTTCTAATGTTAAAATTAGTATACTAGGATATTTTCAATGTTATTTATCACAACAAAAAACTGAAAGTGACCAAATCTGTTATTGCACCACATCACACTAACTTCTCTGCCTTAAAGGTCTCATACTTCTTTCACAAATGTAACAAGAAAATTTGAGAAATTAAGGTATTCTGTTGGTGAATCTGTTTTGGAAATGTATTATAATAAACTTAGGTAGTGATCAAATTGAAAGCTATTATATTCATCTGTAGCTCAATGTGGGGGTAGCAAGGTAGCTGACTCAGAGGGTAAACACACCTAAAACATGACAAATTGAGTCGGATTCCCAGAACCCACAGAAGGAGAGACCTGACTCCCACAAAGTTATCTTCTGATCTCCACCTGCACACTGTGTTATATGTTCATCCATTCAGACAAACAAACACAAACACACACATCCAAATGTCATGTAATATGAATGGCTTTCCAAACTGAACAAGAATTCCAGTGTTTTGTACCTCTGTATAAAATATGACAAATGTTTATAGTGTCTGCTAAATGCATCAAGTAATATAAGACTCGGCAGTGCAGAATTTTCAACATTACTTTTCTGTTAAATGAAGCTCTCTTGTAAAAATAAAGCATTTCTCTAAGTGACCAATCTGTGCAAAAAAGAACAGTTTTGACAGTGTCAAGCTTATAAGCCAGATAACCGCGGGAACACCTGGCAGAGGAGATCTGGCTAATGAGCCAAGGTACACAGGTTATTTGAGGTGCAGCACTAAATGAAGCTATGCAAATAACCATGATTTTGTTGTTGATGTTCTGTTTTGTTATTGTTGTTTTAACAGTGATTTCTAAAGCTCCTTTTCAGCAATGGAAATTATTAAAATGAAGGCAGACAAAGGTTATTTGTACTAAAAATAGTGTTTCTGTTTAAAACCAAGTATGGTTTTTACATAACAGCCAAGAAAAGGATTCTCTCTGCCAAGTCTGTGAGGGAAAACTGCATACTACACCTTCAGCCGTATGACCTCCATGCAGTGGCCGTCCTTGTTTTGTACGTTCTTTTCCCACAGGAGATTCTGTATTGGGCGACACAATTTCATAAGACCAACCACTGCAAATGCAACAACTATGCAACAAAACAGCTCATGAATCATTAATCAGTTAAAATTGCATTCACCTGGATAAATACATTTAGACACTCTTCCTTTGCACTTCCTGGTACTTCAAATGTGACTGTAATAATACTCTGCAAATCAAGAGAATAATCCGTAAGTTTTATTGAATCATCCACCTATTTTTAAAACTATAACCAATTTGAAAATGAAAAGAGAAAAGAGCTATACTTATGGAGCTTTAGCTGACTAATATTATTAATCATTATTTTCCTCTTTGGGAATTATCAATTCTACAAAGTAGATCAATAGTATTTAAAAACAGAAACAAACAAACAAAAACTCTTTCATGTAAGGAGGGTGCATACATTGTGTGCATTCTTCCAGGGTCATCGATGGCATCTTTTCCTTTGCTCATCACAGCAATCCTGGGAAGTGGGGACTATTTCACTTCATAAGTTGGGCAAATGAAGCTCAGAAGAATAAACTACCCTGATGCAGAAGCACCGCTCAAAACAAAGGTGTGATTCTGCTCTTAGAAAGAAAGGCATGTATGGTCCCTGAATGAGCCGGCACTGTGATGAGTGAAAGGAGTTATCAGCAAGGCTGGCAGCAGTGGCGTTTCTGGCTTAGGTCCTTGGAGCATAGCTTACAGAATTCAGATCTATGCTTCCTCCTGATCTCAAAAGATCTGTCTTCTCTAAAGAAGCTTAAAGTTTCCTCTAACTGGTTACATAATTAAAATTCAGACCTCCCTTTGACATCAACATAACACCAAACCTCCATCCCAACAATGGAAATACACAAAGCTAAGCACATTATTAAAGCAACACCCCCACCCTGGGCAGTGAGATTGCAAGTCAAGCTCAGAAATTTGTAAAAGGAAGACAGAGGCCGTGAGTCTGTGTAACATCTTAGAAATGCTCATCTCCCCAAGCATTTTAGAAGACCACTTAAAAGACTGCAGAAGAAAACATAAAAATGCCTGAGTTGTTTTCTTTAATTTTGTTTCATTGGTTTTGAAACAGGGTCTTGCTATGTATTTCAAATTTGCTTTGAACTCATAATCCCTGTTTCAAGCTTAGCATGCTGGGGCTTCAGGTGTGCATCAGCGTGCCCACCAGCTTCAGAATTGTTTTTTATGCAAACTTAGAGCTAAAAGCATTAAAGATCAGTGCAGGGCAATCAATATGCTAACACTTAATCCTCTGATATTGCCAATAAGCAAAACAGAATGCTTTCTTACTCAAACATCAGAAGTAAAGTCATTTTTAAAAAAGCATGTTGGACTTTAAAATGTAAGGCATATAAAAGCACTTCCCTTTATCTGTGGGACATACAATACACTAGTAATTGTCTGAAACTACAGGTAATACTGAGACACAAGCTAATGCCTTTTCAGTTTTAACTAAGCACTTACATGCTGTGGTTATAACTTCCAGGTTTAAATCCAACTGTAAAATTAGCACAAGTTTCTTTTTCTTCCTCCACAATGTCACAGATAGTAAATTAATTCTGAGCAGATATCTTACCAGTCTCAATATATGATTTCCCCCCTTTCTTATTAAATCACCTTTTCACATAAAGGAAGCACTCTACAGCTTCTCTTTGACACACTGTATTGTCAACATCATTAGTCTTGGTTTTGGGATGTGATTCTGAACACAAGGATCACATGAACATAAGCATTATGATATTGCTACAGTAGATCTGGCAACAGAGATGCCAACTCAGTGAGTGATGGTATCGAATTCAGCATGGATCCAGCAGACAATGGGATGATTCACACAACAATCAGGACACAGCAGAATGGTGAGATGATTCATAATGCTACTCAGAACAGAATGCAGTTTTACACTGATGAGTTATTTCTGGAATTTTTCCACTTAGTATTTTGGACTTCAGTTGGCTACATAGAATGGAAACCATAGAGTGTGAGGGCTCTACCCATATTTTGTTACAATAATTAAATCAAAAGCTAGAAATTATTTCAATGCTCACCTACAAGTAAGGTTTTTTAAAAGTGATATATACATACAATGGATTATTATTTGGTCTCAGGAAGGAAGAAAATCCTGCCATATAGTAAAATGTGAATTAACCTGGAGGATGCTATGCTAGATGAAATGAGCCAGCAGTAGAACAAATATTGTACACTCGCATTAAGTGGTTAAAATAGTTAAACTTACAGAAATCAGAAAATAAAATGGCAGCTACTCGGGGCTGTGAGGGCAGCACTGAGGAGCTGCTGTCCAGTGAGTCCATTTGAGTCCCACAAGACATAAAGCTCTGCTGTACAACACACACACCACAAACACTGCATACCTAGAATTTCTTTAGAAGACAGAGATCAACTTAAGGAGTTGTTGTTTTTGCTTTTTTTCCACAATACAAAGGACTTATTTTAAGATCTTAATAAACATATCCTACTTTAAAACTATTTGGGTTTTTCTGTTTAAAGTAATATTATGCATTTAAATTGAATGGTAATTTTTTCCTCATTAAAGAGATCACTCACTATAAGTGCCTAAAATCCTATATCTAGCTAAATTGTAAAAGCTCCCCAAATGAAGCACATGTCAGATTCAAAAGAAAATAATTTGTCTTCAAAAACATATAAGTGTATTTCATTCAAATTGAATAACTTAGCTTTATTACTAAGAATGTCTCAACATAGAACTCAGTACACTTGCTGCTTTATTGTCAGTTTAAGTCTTATATAAGCATTTTTTTTCTTTTGCAAGTTACTGATATGACTTTGTTCAGTTATTTATTGTTTTCTGAGACTGTCTCAAGTAACCTAGGCTGGTTTTGAACTGTTGATACTCCTCCATTTACCTCCCCAGAACTGGGAATACAGGTATTAGAGACAGGCAACACAACACCTTGCTATTACCTACTTATTTTAAAGGGGTATAATTAACTCCAGAAATAGGCACAAATGAGTCTTGAAATTAAGACAATACCTAATAGGGTTCAAGGTGGACGCCTCTACTTTGGAACTGTTGCTTTTCATACTAGTTAAAGTCTTTTCATATAAGGAAAACTCAAAGACGATGAAAGCTATAAATTGTGGTAAAAACTCAGAATTCAGAATTGCCTCTATAAATAAAACTAACCATAGGCTGTCACTTGGGCGTTCTCATTTATATTTCTATGCCAGCTCACCTTTTTAGGATTAAACAAGGAATAATGCAAAATTTAAAAAAGGTGAATTACAGTAAATACTTCTCAGGAATAAAACATCAATAACACACATATAGCCCATCCCAGGTATTACCACTCTCAGACTAGATTTTGAAATTTATTTCTGCTTTGAATCTAAAACTGTCTCTTCTCATGGCTAGTAACACAAAAGCAGAAAAATGAGGCAATAATTCAGAACAACTAAAGTCTAATAAAGAAATTCTCTAAAATAAAATTAACAGTAACTCTGATTTGTTGACTTGGCTTATTTTCCCAGTTAACTCACTAGATTATCAGTAAAATAACTTTTACACAATTTCTTTATCTGGAAAACCAAGCTCAGTAATGCAGTCAAATTCCTCTGTCTCCAACGCTCCAGCCCTTTACTGTTCTCTGCCTCTGTGGTATCTTCTGCCTCCAAATGCCCGGCTGAGCACGTGGCATTCTCACTCAAATCTCTGTCCTCCAGGTGCTCCTCTAGTTAGTCTACATTTCCCACCACTCCTCCTCTCTTACCAATCCATACACAGAGATCCCGTTTACCCCGCTTCTACTGCAGGTATTCGTTCCATGGTATAACATCTTCATGCTTGGTCTCTAGATCCCAAAGACAAGTCCTGCTTCTCAAACACTGACACACATCAGTGCGAGCCTTCTTTGCCTTACGCGTTATACCTCGATGCCTTAAAACAAATTTCCAGTTCCAGTCATCTAAAAAGACTTCTGCACTAAAAGCCTGCTTCTCTGGGACTATGTTCTCACTTTCCAACATCAGGACTGTCTTTCTCCTTCTGCTGTATCTACTAAAACAAACAAACCCGTCAATCAGTCAACAAAACCCTAACTAGTTCAAAATTCTCTTTAGTATTTAAGTCAAAATGGTAACTGTCCATTCTCTGACCAGAAGGTGCATACAGAACTTCTATACATTTTTAGATACACTTATTATATTGATCTGAGTGGATCTGTACACATGGACAAATGTGTGTGTGTACACAAATAATGTTGAATTACACATTAAAACCTGAATTGTTTACTTTATATGAAAAATACTCTTTCCTAAAGCTTTTGATGAGGTTGAGGTTAGATGTGACAGCTAACCTTCAGTTATTTGACTAGACTTAGAAACACGTGTTCTAAGTGTTTCTTAGAACAGCCCCAGTGTGGAGGGGCTGGAGAGCTGGATCCGTGCTTAAGAGCACTGGTTGTTGTTCCAAAAGACCTGGGCTCAATTCCTAGCACTGATGTGGCAGCTCAATACTTTCTGTGGCTCTAGTACCAGGGATCTGACACCTTCACACAGATAAACACGCAGACAAAACACCAATGCACAAAAATAAAAGTAAATTTTAAAAACTTATGGAAATAATTAAGCATATTTCCAGAAAGGTTTAAGTGGTGAAAGACCCACCCTGAATATGCCAGTACTTCTCCACAGGCGTCTTAAATGGAAGAAAAGAGATAGAACAACCTGAGCATCAGCATCCATCTCTCTGCATTTCCTGACTGCAGATGCAATGTGACCAGTTACTGCAGGCTCCCGCTGCCAAGACTTCCATACCTCAAACTGTAAGCCAAACCAATCCTTCCTTAAGTTGCCCAGGTCAGGTGTTTTGTTAAAGCAACAAGAAAAGTAACCAGTACAATATTCTAGATCAAAATGTAGCACTTTGGCATTTGAGAAACAAAAGCAGGAAAACCAGCTCACCCACTCTACCCACCCCCACCTTTTTCCCTTTTCTCTGAAACAGGCCATAAACATAGGACTGCTTTTCTGTGCTTTCCCTGTAACAGATCTTAAGATACTCATGTGAGAAGTACCAAGAAAAGAGCAACCTTATTTGTAGTGAATATGTGTTATTGACATACGCACAGCTATGTCAAGGTATAGCCTCAGGTTCCGATGAATGGCAAAGCCTTCTTTGGGGGACCAAGTGTAAGTGTTGACAGTATACGCAGAGAATATATACCACTAGCCAGATATTTATGGTCTCAAGTCTGCTTCCCTACAGAGATCATGCCTACCAAAATTAGCTAAACATGTCTCCTTGGTCATGCTATATACCATAAATTCTGTTCAACTCTATAAAATAAACCCTGTGCTTCTCACCTGCTGAAGTTTTTTCAGCCAAGAGCCCAGACCACCCAATCTCAGCTTTTCTGTGTTTCTTTCTGACTGTGTCTGTCTTTTCTTCATTCCCTCACTACCCCAGTAAGATTCAAATCCCTGGAGCAATGGATAGATACTTATATCTGAAGATAAAGTCACAAAGAAGATTCTAAACAAAGAAACTTTTGCTAAACTTTCCAATTTAGTATTGTTAGGCCATACCATCCCCCTGTCTTAGCTCTCTACAATTCTGTTTTTAACCAAACCTAACACAGAAACATTCAGGTTTAATCAATTCCTAATGATTTCATTCTGAAGGCTTCCTTATCATAAAAACTAACAAGTTAAAAATTGTATGCTTTCTTCTTGCTAATCTGTCTTGTGCTGAAGTCTTCAGCCCTGAACTTGTCAATGAGTGAAGAAGAGATGCAGTTCCTTCTCTATAACTCTGATCCATTAAACCAACAAAAAGGTTCATGCTTGAATCCTAGATCCCTTTCTCTGGAATATTCCTTTGCCCTATGTTTATGCATTTAAAGCAGGGCAGTATATCAGAAACTCACATTGGGTTTTAATGAAAACAGACATGCCCTATTTACTGGAGAAATGACGTAACGTCTGGGATTTGCTTTAACATGCTGTAGCAGGGGTCGTAAGTCTGTACAGGTTCTTTATGCCATTCTACTTTTATATATGTCTGAAATTTACTATTTAAAAATATACATTTCGAACTTCAGCAAAGGAATGTTGGGAAGATGGATGAATTAAAATTGGCAAAACGTTGATAACTTTTAAACTGATGTCTAAAGAGACCCATTTTGGTCTCCTTCCTTTTGCAAAGCACTGAAAATATTCATAATAAAAAGTTAAGCTATGATTAATATTCATGTTTCTAAGCCTCACTTCTGGAGGAACTATGGAGTATCTGAATTCAGACAGCAAGAAGGGAAGAAAGGTAGGAAGGCAAGATGCTCTGTAAGTGATTCTGAATCACATCACTGTTGGAGCATCTCAGCTTTCCATTCCCTAGACAAATATTCGCTGAGATGCTACTACATATCAAATCCTATGCTATGCAATGAACAATTATTTTCAAGGGGGAAGCGTTTCAAATCACATTGCATGATGTTACAAATACCATGATGGGGTGCATTCAGGACACCATGAACATAGAAACTGGCAATCATAAAGGTTCTTATGAAGACTCCATTTTCTTCATCTTTAAATCCCAGATTCCTAATGTAAGATCTTGAACCCAGAGAAGTTCAGTAATATGTGCTTAAACCTCATCCTAGGACAGCTACTTAATTTCCCCTAAAATTCCACTGCCAAGGACTTACTATTTCTCTCACTTACTCATTTTAGAGGTAATGAATGCCATATTCTCTGAGAACTATGCCATGCACATGATAGTACAGCCCCCTAGGAACATGAGCCAAAATGAAGACAAACGTACAACTGGCTGTGCTATCCTGGCCCCATGACAAGTGATAAAGACCTGAGAAGTCAGTCAGCTTCCAGACAGAGGAGCCAGGCACACAGTTCACAAGTCCTCTCGCTGCTTAAAAGGAAATCAAAAAGTTACCCTAAAGTTCTGCCCTCCAGGACTTGCTTAGGAGAAACATGGTTTAAAGAAAACATACTTACTTTGTTCCTAGCATCTTAAATATCACCCTCGGGAAACACACACACACACACAAAAACAAACAAACAAACAAACAAAACAACTAGAGTTCAAATTTACAGTGCTACTGAAAGTAAATTCAAGCCATCCTTTATTGTCCCCTAATCAATTAGTTAAATATAGTTTAAGCAGAAACCAGAAAGAATCTCCAGATTTCATTTAGGTAGAAATTCTCCTCAAAATAAGTTTAAATACAGAATTTTATAAAATATCAGGAAACACGAGGATTAGAATGTTTCTTAACACAGAACAAATTCTCATGCTAAACTAGACTACATACCGCCAAAGACATGTAAAACTATCAAAATGGCTAACCTAAGCTATAAATAGTATTTTAGAAAGAGAACTAACAAGAAGTATCCTAAGTAGAACCGACTCAGCTGAAGAAACACTTTAAATTTTAATTTTACCTGATCAAGGTGGGGTGCTGTTGGCATGTGCTGAAGCTTTTTCTGTAAACTAAGAACAACCAATTACAGATTCAAAGATCAGCATATTTCCAATTTAATATTATCCACTACTCAGAGACACAAGGCCAATTAAGGAACAAACATTTCATAATTAAATCTATCACAAAGTTCCAATTTACCAACTCTTCGTATATTCTAAATTTATACATATATGTAATATTTGTATACAACAATTGAGAGATCTAAGATATATGTAGAGAAAAGTTGACAGATCTAAGATATAAAAAAGTTTTAAATGCACACCCAATCACATCTTAAGTATGATTCAATGAAGGGAAAAACTAATATTTTAGCAATATTCTGTTGCTAAATATGTCAGTAGATTTCTTTATAATTCTAGTAGGTTAATTCAGTAATTTCAACAGGGTTGGGAACACAGGCATGGTCATTCTGTAGTTCTCCAAAATATGTTGGTAGCTTTAAAAAGAAATGTAAACTTTCCTTTGTTAAGGGTTTCCATTGGATATACATATACATTATTAAAAGACAAAAAGAATCCAACTACAAATTTCCTATACAATCAGTTACCAGTTAAGAAAAAAATGAAGCCAGGCATAGTGATGTACACTGTTAATCTAGCACTCAGGAGCCAGAGTTGGAAGCCAGCCTGGTCTACACAGTGAGTTTCAGGACAGTCAAGAGTTACACAGTGAGACCCTGACTTTAAAAAAAAAAAAAAAAAAAGGCAGTCAGAATCTTAAGAATGCTCTGCTCTGTTATGGCAAGAGCCAGAAGATTGCAGAACAAATTACTACCATAACAACTGGAGCACACATTTAGGCGGTGATGGTGACAGGGCAGAGGAAGGGGAGGGACTTACAGTCTTGCAGATGTTCTGTCTTGAAGCACAGTGAGGGGTGAATTAGTAACAGCAAGTCTAGGCTGTAGGAACCATTGTCAAAGGAATGACTCACACTGAGGGGGTCTTAGTAGGGAAAGTTTCAAATTAAATCCTTCCCAGCTGGTTGCTTAGGGCTGAATTCTCCTACTGAAACAGTTCAGCACAAAGAAAGCCATGCAAAGGTCTCATCTACAATTGGAAAGGTCTCATCGACAATTGGAGGACAACAATACATACACACTCCTTTTGGTATTGCTAAAATATTATAACTGCTCTTAATCAAAAGTCGAATGAGATCAGAAAATTGTAGGAAAATCACCTTTCAGTATTGCCAGATAGTGAGTACACACAACTTCACATCCAAGCAAAAATCAAAAAGATTAACAAGGAACCTTTAGGGTTAGTTCCTAGTAAGTCTCAGAATTGTCTGCCTTAATAAAAAGAAAAGATATCATACTCTAGTATAGCAGACAAGCATATACTACTAAAACCCAAAATTCATTATCAGAATCTTTTGTGTGAAAAATAGAATCACACAGAAAAAAAAAACAGAATCTTTTGTGTCAATGCAATTCCTAATGATTTTCATATCCCATATGCACTCATCATTAAGTATAAAACTCTTGAGTACTCAAAATGTACAGCAGGAAAATGGGCCAGGAAAAATTCACCCTCGGGTGCTCTGATCATACCATCTACACAGGAATGTATATAAATGAACATACATTCTAAGTGATTCACATGCACCAAACACTCCTATCTACCTACGGACTAGACCAAGAAAGCGAACACAGATTGATTCACAGCAGTAGTCATTTTCATTTGTTCCTGAGTTACTAAAGTCCAACACCAGAAGCAGTGAGTGAAAACAGCTCTTTACTAAAGACTTAACTTCGAGAATGGCTAATTCTAGCCCTTGATTTAAGAGATGAAAAATCTACCTCTTTGGATTTTAATTTAAAACATGAGGAAATAGTTGTCTTGCAAATTCCACACTTCTAGGCACTAAAGTAGTTTCACTTTTAAAAATCACAGTAAATGGGAATTAAAATTCTCTGTAAGACAAAGAGGTGCATTAAGACACCATGTCATATCCTCATGGGTTACTTCAGAAGCTGTTTCAAAGGGTGCACAACACTAAAGACACAGTGGACGGGATGCCTATCTGGAGCTCACAGGTACCGAGCCACTCACTATGCCTACTCATAAGAATGACAGCCTTACTAATTAAAAGTACTCAGAGAACATCCATTTTCATGATATTGAGTAGACACAAAAAGATATATAAGCATTGCTTACAAGAGCTAAAATGTGGAAACAAATGTTTATTTTTGGATGAACAAATAAATGTGTGCTCTTTGTGTATATGCATGTCTGTGTATATGTAAGTGCACTTTAAAAAGAGTCCATGCAGGCTTCTGCCCTTGGGTCTCTCTAATGAACTCTGATTTCATTTTTTTGTCTTGAATCACCAAGGGGAATTTTATAGTTTTGTTTTAACCTTCCAATGGTGAAATTGAACCCACACAAAAGGGGTGGGGGAAGTCCTGTCCTGTCATTGAAGGACAAAATAGCATAACCCACAGAAGCAGGCACTTGAATAGATTGGTTTCCAGGAAGGAAAGATAAGGACCTGCCATTCAACGAGTTTTACAAGTTTGTGTTATATATCATCATGCCTAAAGTTAACAATCCCATATTATAATTAAAAAAAAGTGCTATGAAAGATCTTATGTTATATATCCTTAGTTCAATTAGAAAAGTAAATAAATGAGTTGAATGCATTGGCACATGCCTCCAATTCCAGTACTCCAAAGGCAGAAGCAGGCAGATCTATGCAAGTTCAGGCCAGTTGGTCTGGTCTATATAGCAAATTCCAGGCCAGCCAAAGCTATGTAGCAAAATCCCGTCTCAAAACAAAATAAAACAACAAGAACAAAACACTGATGTCTAAGAATAAACTTTTTCCATCTCTTATTATAAAGATCCCTCCAAAAGGAGATAGAAAACTGATCTATTACTAAAGGGAAAGAAGTAGTCTATGAGAGCACCCAGTTAGATTTTTCTCTGTATTTTACAATTTTTTTTAGAGTGTTATAATGGGCAGCACAGAAATACTAGTGACTTCCAGGCTACATTACCATTTACATTATAATTATATAGAGCCAGCGTCCATGATCATAATTAGAAATGGTCTTTTGAGCCAACTGTGTTGGTGCACGTCTGTATCTTAGAAGTTGGGAGGCTAAGGCAGAGGATCACAAGGTTAAAGGCTTAAGCTACAAAGTAAGACTTTCTTTTTATTCAGAAAGTAAAAAAGCAAACTTGTATGTCTAAGAAATGGCATCTAAATAATGGGAAACAATAAAAAAGTTTACATAAAAATAACCAAAATATTAAAAACATACCTTATTCCAGAGAGACTATCATAGGCATGAAGATCTAATATATTTGAGAGATGAACTCTAAAAGGAAGAAAATGCATTTAAATAGTAGAAAATTTTCTAAAATACATCCAATTGATCAAGAATAAAATTTCAAATTGGGCAACAGTATTTAGGAGTTAGATAAAAGGAACAGAAACTCAAGAACATCGTTGGCTACAATAGTGAGTTCAAGGCTTGGGCTATATGAGTCCCTGTCTCAAAAAGAAAACTCTCTAAGGACTTTTTATCAAAATATGCAAGCATAGAAACTAATCAGCCTTGGGGGTTGCAGAGAGCTAAATGGTTAAAGCATTTGCTGCTCTTACAGAGGACCTAGGTTTGTATCTCAGCACCTTCTTGGTGGCTCAGAACTGCCTGGAACTCCAGTTTCAGGAGTTCTAATGCCCTCTTCAGACTTCCATGGGTATTAGGCACAAACATGGTACACATATATACATGCAGGCAAAACGATCAAACACACAAAATAAAAATAAATCTTTTTAAAAACTACATATTATACTTAGGGAGATACACTAAATGACAGAAAAGAAAAAAAGAGATATGGTAAAAAGAAGTCTACCTAAAATTTCTAAAAGTAGCTGAATGGTAAAGATCAGACAAAACAAACAAACAAACAACAACAAAAAAAACGTGCTACTGCTCCAAAAAAAGTTTCCTTTTCACTTTTGATTGTCCTTCAGTTATAACTCTATATGCTTTAAAATACTTTCAGAATTAAAAAATATCTAAATAACCTTTTCTAAGCAGCTATTACCCCAAATGTGAAATAAAAGTAACAAAGGGACAATAGTTTACACACATTTCAAAAGCCTTTGGGATTTTCCTAATTCTTTTACAACTTCTCTATGTTAAATAGGTAATACAAAAATACTAGGGCTGGAGAGAGTTAATATAAAAATATGAGGCTCAGCAGTTAAGGACACTGGCCGCTCTTCTAGAGGACATAGGTTCAATTACCAGCACCCACATGGCAGCTCACAACTATCCGTACCGCCGTTCTAGAGCATCCAACACCCTTACCCAAATATACATGCAGACGAAGCATCGATGTACATAAAATACAAAGCAAAGAAGACCAGTCTACAGTCCACAACCCCAGAGAACCTAGACAACAAAGACCTTAGAGAGACATACATGGATCTTCAAAGGAAGGTGAAAAAGACAGGATCTTCTGAGTAAATTGGGAGCGTGGGGGTAAGAGGAGAGGGTAGAAGAGGAGAGGAGTGGAGAAAAATGTATAGCTCAAAAAAAATTAAAAAAAGAAAGAAAAAACACTAATGTATATAAAATAAAAAGTAAATTATAAAAAAAATACTAGAACTCTAAAGCTGAGCATGGTGGTACACACCTTTAATCCCAGCATTTGGGAGGCAAAAGCATGTGTATCTCTGTGACTTTGAGGCCAGCCTGGCCTACATAATGAATTTTAGGACAGCTACATTGTGAGACTGTCTGGTGGGGGTTGGGGATGTTAGAACTCTGGGACTGGAAGAGCAGCACTTTGACAATGCATGTGTAAGGCTCTGGAATCAATCTTAGGTATCAACAAAATAAAAATATATAAATAAAACCAAAAGGAGTCAAACCACCAGGATGTGAATTAATATTAGCTCCCTCTGGAGCCACATGTTTGATTTTACTTGTTCAGAATGAGGGCTCAAGTAGAATGAAGCTTTCTAGTTCACAATGCTGTCAGAACAAATGTTTTCTCTGAAAATTATTGATGACTGAACCTTATTATGAATGCAGCAATCCAAATCACTAAGAATCAACCACAATCCACATTTGGTTTGGTTTAAATATATAGAAGTAAATTTGCAAAAATGGATGACTGATTTTCCGTTTTAACATAAGTACACGGAAGAGCAGAGAACAGTGACTTTATAATTAAACTAAAATGAAGGGAATATTTAAAAGAACACAAAACTACAATCAAAAGTACAATTACATTTCAACACTAGACTCAAGCTGCTTGTCAGACATTTCTACATGGAAAACAAAGTTCATTAGACACATTCAAGATGTTTGATTAAGCATACAAATGTAAGATAAAATACTTCCTTTAGTGCAGAACTGGCCAGCTGTGCAAACAACCACACACTCAGGACAGTGCACGACAAGGTTATGAAAGCTTATCTTGGCATAGACAAAATTCCCATCTTATTAAACAATAAATACCACTACTCTATGTTAACATACTACATCAATACTTCAAATATGGGACATGCTGGATCTGAGCCAGGAAAATGATCAGACAAGGAAGCAAATATTCTGAGAATGAAGAAATTTTTGAGTATCAATTTACACTAAGAGATCAAAATCTTAGCATTAAATATACTTCCTTTTCCATTAACAGTTAAATATTTATAAAGACAGGTTAAAACCACCCAAGATTATCATCTCCACTTCAGCAAATAGTTTCAAGGAAAGTTTGTATGTGCCAATTCTGTGAATATGCAGTTCTATGTAAAAAAAAAAAAAAAAAACCTTCGAAATGCACCACTGCCCCACTGTGACAGTGTCCTTGAAAACACTATCATTTAGAGAATTCTGCTTTATAGCAGATCCTTTAGATACTTACTTCTAAGAATGAAAGGACCAACAACAGAATAATAATAAAGTATCAGAGTCTCAGCAAATTCTCAATGGTCAGTATAAGGGGATAAGGCATAAGCTTCCACACTTAAGTTTTATGAACTTTTCCCCAAACTAGCACTGCTTTGGAAAAGAAAGTCTACTCATTTAAAACATGTCTAGAAAAATTTTCATGGTGCTAAATCTGTTCATTTAATTTCTTCCTTCAGAAATAAAAGCATCAGATATTTTCCCAGACATTCAAACAGTAAGATCAAAAGACCACCATCATTTTAAATTAAATAGAAAAATAAATCAAAGGGAAAAGATCTTCAAAAGTTCATTCGTCTATTGTCTTTCACAGCCTGAAGCTGTGGGAAAACTTTAGGGACACTGCCTAAAGGCCACCTTTCCAAATTCAGCGAGTCTCTCCACAAGGTTCAGCTTATTTCCAAAAGCTTGGAGCTAAACTCTAGCACTAAGTTTCCAAATGTTCTCATTACTTTTTCTAAGCCCACACCCATCCCACTCCACCCAAGTTTTTCTAATCTTTCTGTATGCCCTAAACTTCAGTGGCCAGACCATAGAGAGTCCACCCCTCAAGAGTCTCTTACTTTTAAATCTTTCAGGGCCTCCTTCTTGCCACCAGGAGAAAAATCCTATGTATCATGGCATTCATGGTCTTTGTGGAAGATTGACATACCTTTCCTCTTAGCTACATGCAGCCATGTGTCCTAGTCATGCTAAAATATCATCCCTGAAATTCTGTACACCTGGAAAAAAAAATCACCTGTACTGCAGGTGATCTGGAAAAAAAAATCCATTCATGGTTTAAGACTCTAATCAAATCATTTTCCTAAACAAGTTTTCCTGACTCTTCATCAAGAAAATTTGGTCATTTCTCTGCCTTCATATTCTTACAGAACTCTGTGCGGTCAATATTTCTATTGTGACATAGTAAGAAGATATCTAAGGTGTTGTTTTTTGCTTGTTCATTTCTTAGTTTTTCCCAAATGACTGATCCACCCAGTGTCTTAAAAGTACTTTTGTCTTCTCTGTGGCTTAGTTCTTGAACCTACCCTAATGTGCCTGGAATCAATGGAAAGCTGAAATGGTTAACTTATTATTGACCAACTGCATTTTGATGTTCCTCTGTCCAATTCACTTGAATCTCTAAAAAATTTTGAAAAGTACAGAAAGATAAGAATGCATGCCTTCTATCTGCTCCTACTTCGGAAGTCTACACAGTCATCAGAACTTGGACTTGCTGGCCAATCCGCTTAAACACTAATAAGAAAGCACCATACATGATTTTGACTTCATTCCACAAAGTCAAGGTGAGCCTTTGCTTATGCATGCTTATAGCACTTTCACTTCTGCCGGCTTTTGTCAACCTCAAAATACTAATGGGATTAAAATGCTAAAACAAAACAAAACAAAACAAAACCCCAAAAAAACCCACTCCAATTATTTTGTAAGAATTAAATCTCTAGCTTCTAAATTGGGAAACCCAAGTTTTGTTTGTCTCAAGAAATTTGAGGGAAATACTTAATGTAAGATTCATGACCCAATAATAAGACTCCTATTTACAGCTGATCGTCATGGAAAAGGTCTCTAACTCAACTCCAGTGTTCCCAGAAAGGACAAAGTCTCAGATCCACTGCCAATAAGCAGATCATGAAGAGTGAGAAGATAAAGATTTTCTTCACTTGCACCCTCATCCTTAAGTAATAAACACTGCATGACTAATATTTTTATAAGGAAGCAAATTCTAAAAATACACGATGAATGAAGCCATTACATAATAAGCTAATTGAGAGGGAACTTTATTTAGAATACAGATCATCTCGAAGTGGAAATAAAGAAAATACGAACTGAATACATGCTGTCACAACAGAAACACAGTTACTGATAAGTATGATTTTTAAAGCTAATTTAAGGGTTATAGAAACGTCTGTCATTTATAAAGGAAAGAAAATCAGGGAGAAAACAAATACAGATTATGAATGGAAGAAAACATATGAGGAATGGCTCTGAGTTTGTGTTAGATTATCATATTTCTATAGTAGAGTAGAAAAATCTGGGAGCACATTTGCTTGCACAGTGCCCGTAGAGGGATCACACCAAAAGCATCTGTGGCTCCTGCAGATGCATACCAAATTCATTCTCCAGCTGCTCACATGCTCAGAGCAGCTGCTGCTATTACTGCCTCACACTTTTGTCACTCTGTCAGCACCTCTAATCTGTGCTATTGCAGTAAGTCACTCAGCTAAAGCTTCTTCTGCATTTGACAATAGCAGACTCTCAGCTAGAGGCTGGGTGGCACTAGGCTGCCAGCTGTGAATCTCAGAGGGGTCTACTGTCTACTAAGCCATTCTTGTCCCCAAAATTAGCGTAACAAAATACCCTTACACTGAAGTTTTCTGAAACCATGACAGCAGGCAATGGAAAACAGTTCAATCTACAAAAGTACAGTTCACAGAGGTTTTTTTTTAAAGAATACAACTATTTCAGAAGATTATACACATCTTTATGAACAGAACTACAAGAAGAAGCTATAGAAGATGTAAATAAAGGGATGCATTAAGAACTTAAACATTACAAAAATCCATGTATTCTTATTGCAGTTTTTTTGCAACACTAAGGTTTTAAAGTATTAAAAACCTATTTTAAGGCCTTAAGTTATAATTCTTGAATATACTTTTCCAGATTTATCATAGCTCTGTAGTTCTTAGCAAAAGTACTAACTAAATATGGCAAACTAATTGGTAAAAGAGCATTCAACTTTTAGGTCTTACTTTAATGCATCTATGTCTTTATTATATTATAATCAAGTTACTTATTAATTTTTAACAACTAAAGGCTGTTATTTGTTGTTGGTATTAGTAATAGATTTTTTTTTCCTTTTCTTCCTCTTTACTCAGGAAGCCCAGCCTATCCTTGAACTCCCTACAGTCAAGGATGACCTTGAACTTCTAGTCTCCTGCCTACACATCCAAAGTACTGAGTGTATAGGCATGTGCACTATGCATGGCTAATGCAGTGCTACAGTCAACACAGGGTCTTATGCATGTTAGGCAACAATCTTACAGCTGATATATACCTCCAGCCCTAGTAAAAACTTTAAAAAGTACCTTGATCTTTGAGTTTCTAAAACTTTTCCCAGTCCATTTATTGATCTGAAATAAAAAGCAAAAGGAAAGGGTTTTAAAAAGTAAATGGCAACTTTTTTTTTAAAAAAGCATACAAAATCAATTATTCCTAAAACAAAAAGAAAACAGATACAAATGTAACCAGAACTAGTAAAACTGAAAATGGAAAACCTGTATTTTTTTTAATGGTTTAGATTCTTTATCTTCAAACTACAAATCTAACACAATCTAGTTGTGCATTTAAGAAAACTTGTTACTCAAAGCCTACCACACAACTGGAAGGCTAGTTATGACCGTGAGTTACAAAAGGTTCCTCACTTTAGGAAAAGGGTAAGGATGTGGCTCAGTGTACAGTCCTTGCATAGCATGTAACTTGGCACAGTGTTTGCCTACATGCACAACTCCTAGGTGTGACCCCAGCACTGCCAAAATGAAAAGAAAGAAAGAAGATGATTCATAAGTAGCAGGGATTCCTAATGTTCTTGTATACTCAAAACTTTTGCATGACAGACAATTTTAACATATATACACTGGAGAAACAGTGAACACAAAACACCAAAACAAAGGAAAATGGTTTCCTTTGTATGTCACAAGATACTTTAATTCCTTTAAACACTGTGAACAACTATGCATTTTTATTGCATTAATTCTCTTTTCTATACAGACATATATCTAAAATATTCGCTGCTTGTTCAATATGTTCTTATGGGTAAGCCTTCTTGTGTACAGTGATTCTGAGGTAAGTTTCACTTCTAGACTACTTAACGAGAGTCTCAATCTTCTCTTCAAAGAAGCAAATCTTCATTGTAATAGCAGCTCAGGAAGCACTCACTAAGTGTCAGGCATGGTTCATCTGCAATTTCACAAGTCTCAGGTACTACTTAACGCAAACTTGTAAGATGGGTTTTATTCAAGTTTTGAAGATGATGTTTAAGAAGCTTAAATCAACCCCCATAAGAACAGTGAGAAAGACAACAAGGATGACAACCAAGGCAGACTTCAACTCCATATTCCTAAACACTATGCAATATTATCTGCTTTCTACAGAAAACATTACTTCTTATAGCAAAAACCTAAGAATATTATTATTAAAATAAGAGAAAAATAGAGGAAAAAAGTATGAATTTCTTTCTCTTGTAATCATAATCACTACAAATGACCTCTTAATGAGTTCTATATTTCTGATTTAGTTTTATAGCATATATTATATAAACTAGTGGTACTACAGTCAACATGTAAGGTCAACAGAGATTTTATTAAATATGGTAGTGCTAGTCCATTATTTAAAAAAAAAACTCCACAGTCACTAAAAGCGGACATAAGGAAAGTCGCTAAAATATATGACCGTACCTAATTTAGGTCTTACAAAATAATTCAAGATACAGTTCCTGGACTTTACCTCATTTGAAAAGTCCACCATTGGTTTAAAAAAGAATGGGACTCTCTAAGATAGCCAGCAAAATGACTGTTATATTATTTATTAACAGCAGTATCATTCATAATATTCTATTTTGATTAGCCATACACATAGGCAATGTACACATAAAGCAATCCAGAAGACAAAGCACAGCTGACAAATAAGAAAACCATTAAATCAAGAAGGGTTCAAGTGGAAGTGAAAAATTTGAGCAAGGAAGACTTTGTTAAGGAATGGAAGGAAAAGAGAAAATAGACTCTACAGATGAAAATATATAGTATTATATATTATAAAGGAGGGGATGGACTCAGAAACTGGCAAATGAGAAAACATTATGAGTAGGTGATACCTGGCAAGACATATACATGAAAAAGTAAATTAACTCTCTTAGGGAGTTAAGGAGGTTTGACCTTAGGAAAGTGTCAAAGAACAGACAGGAAATGAAAACTTATAAAGGGAGTTGGTAGACCTAGAATATCAGCCTAGAAATTCCAAATTTTGCTTTGCAAGTGCTGGTGCATTATTTCACACATTCCTACTTATTTAACAGTCAATTAGTCAAGAACAATATACATGATTCCTTAATGATCCTTGAATCTTGTCTTATGCTCCTATAGAGCAATAATCAAAGTGAAAATATTTTACATATTAAAATTTAGATCTGAAGGCATTTAACATATATTTTTCACTGTTCTTTAAAAATGAATTTAGGTCTCCTTTTACATTTTATTTTATTAAGCTATACATTTTTCTCTGCTTTCCTCCCTGCCTCTCCCCTCCCCTTCAACCCTCTCCCATAGTCCCCATGCTGCCAATTTACTCAGGAGACCTTGTCTTTTTCTACTTTCCATGTAGATTACCATTTATGTATGTCTCTCTTAGGGTCCTTATCGTTGTCCAGGTTCTCTGGGATTGTGATTTGTAGGCTGGTTTTCTTTGCTTTATGTTTAAAAACCACTTTTATTTTTTTGGTGAGTGAGTACATATGATAATGTACTTTCTGAGTCTGGGTTACCTCACTCAATATGATGTTTTCTAGCTCCATCATTTAGGCCTATTTTTAATTGACATATAAAAAAAGGGCCATAAAGATGGGGTGCCATGTGACATCTCAATACATGTACAGACTATAACACTTAGGTAAACAAATCTATCTCCTCCACCATTTTTTCTCTAGCTTTTACAATACAACAGTCAAGTGCTGTCTGCTGTACCTGACAGTTGTTCTTAATTTGTTTAGCTCCTCTTCTGAAACCAAGTCTGTTTTATTGATAAGAATCATGTCTGCCAAAGCAACTTGCCTAAAACAGCAAAGAACAACTGTCAGGAGAAAAATGTTAAGAAATCACTAAAACATTTAGAAACAATATTTAAGTCAACATTTCAATTAAGAACTAGCTTGGCCTCAGTTTATTCCCAATCTACTCATTCCACAGAAGAATTTCATACATTACTATGTAAGCTCATCCAAAAGTTATTTGTTACTGGTTATATAAAGATAAGCCTCCAGAGTTTTTAATAAAGAATAATTTTCAGTTCATAGTGTGTGTGTATTAAAGAAAAGCAAAAAATTCAATTATCTATTATGATGGGAATAAGGATAACCTATTTGATAAAAATTGTAAAATTTACCATAATTGTCAAAGAAAGAGAAAAAGTTTACTTAACATTAAAAATTTTGCTTTATAATACTATATATCAAAAATATATCAAGATCTTGGGTAAATATCTTCTTCATCCCATGAATATTATTTTTGTAAAACAGACAGAAAAAAATCCCAGTTAAAAAATCCAACTGATAAAATGCTACATAACATACCAGATTATTTTCCTCAATTCTTCATGAAATTCTAATCACTGAACTACTAGTTTCTAAGTCTGTTATTAAGATATAAATCAAAGAACACAGCAAAATTGAAAAAAAAATAACTACAGACTATATATCACAATCCTGCTTCTATTTAAGTAATCTGCTGTGACTAAGACAGAATGTCCACATAGTCAAATACTAACAGTCACAGTCTTTAAATTGGAGACCTTCTATTTAATCTCTCATGGACTTTACAACTTTCTGATATTTTCTATCTGGCTTATGTATATTTTCTACAATAACCACTTTATGAGGAAAAAGTTACAATCATATTAAAATTAATTTTAATTTAAATCACAATTATACAACAACACAATATTTAGGAAGGGTTACAAAAGAATTCAATTATTAAATTCCAAGATAACAAAGAATCATTTGCTTACAGTCTATTTCCTGTGCTAGGATCATCTGTAGCAAATCCCAGGAGGCCTCGCTCTTAAGCCTAGCAGCATTATTTGGTTTCAAAACCTTCATCTCGTTAGTGAAAATATGCTTAAGGTAGGAAAACTAATTTAAATACTTGTAAGTCTACAGACAAAACAATTAAGGACATAAAAATACTTAAAAACTGTGTTAATGGCCAAGTCAAAAGTATTTCAGTATTTGTTCCTCTGTATTAAGTACAGTGAGGAAGTATGGAGTTTCTAAAGAGTTTCAATTTCAAAAAAATGGCATGAGAATAAAATGCTTATAATAAATGTTAAAAATCTTCTCAATTCAAGCTGGGCAGTGGTGGCACATGCCTTTAATCCCAGCACTCAGGAGGCAGAGCAGGCGGATCTCTGAGTTCGAGGTCAGCCTGGTCTACAAGAGCTAGTTCCAGGACAGGCTCCAAAGCTACAAGAGAAACCTTGTCTTGAAAAATCAAAAAAATAAGAAAAGAAAAGAATCTTTTAAGTTCATCAAAATCAACTACGTCCTATGCCCACCATTCACTTTATCCCACAATATAAACGGTTTAATTAAAATGCTGGTTATGAGTCCATGACTGGTAGACAGCAATGATGTGTGAGAGGAAGAGAAAGTGTTTGCCTTAATTATCTTCATATTTTTAAGTTCTTTTTTGTCTGTTGTTTAGTTTTTGTTTTATGTTACTGATCGTTTTCTTTCAAGCTGGTTATAATCAATATAAGCTTTAAATATGAATACCTAGTAGCTTCATTGACAAGGCCATCAGGTTTTTCTTCAGCTAAATGCTGAACAAAACAAACAAAATTTTAAAACAATTACTATAATACAATGCAGAAATCTAATGTCAACTCAAAAAAAGGATTTTACTTTAAAGCTATCTTTTTTGTCTTAATGAGACTTTAAGTTCCATTACTAAACATGAATGGTGAAAGACTTATCTAGTAAGTTACTATGAGGTACTTCTCACCTCCAGAAGCAGCCCCTCTCTCAACACTTTTACATCCTGAAGTCATCTATGCCATAAGGGTTCCCAGTGTTGTCTTCTAAAAAATCATGTTTTCAACCTCATCACCTTACCTCTCAACAGAGACTCCCTATCATAACAAAAAGCTGGCTACTGAGGATTAAAGACAACTAGACATTAACATTTTACATTCTAATCAAATTGTATAAAGTATTTAACTTTGGGCTGGAGAGATGGTATAGCCGTTAAAGGCTAGGCTCACAACCAAAACCAAATTATTTCATTTTAAAAACATATTAACTCATTAAGGTATCATGGCATGAGAAGTAAATATTTTCATTTTACATATATAAGAACTTAAATTTAATGTCCTCATCATCACAGAATACTGTTTTTACATACCACCACCAGATTATTTTTTAATTAAAAGCATACTTGATAGAAGTAAACACGATTTAAAATCTTTTCTCAAAAGCTTTTATGCCATGTACAACCAGTCTCACATAGAATGCTATTTAATAATTGCATAAGAGTATATATAGAATTATGTACAAATTACATCACATTTTGCCAGGCTAGTTTCACAATTCATGGGGAAGTCACTATTATAGCTTAGAATTTAAGACACACTGATGATTATTTAATAGACTTTGTTAAGAGGCAATCCTTTTTTCTTCTAAAGATCATAACCAAAGTCATGACAGAGACATAGTCATTTCATCTCTTAATACAGGCCCTGAAAAGTCTACCAATCCATAGTTAACTCTCCCATTTGTTGACACAGACACATAAACTCTGTTATCTGAAAAATGCTCCACAACATGCAGCAACACATCTCTTTGCACTAAGCAGTCAAAAATCATACATCTGCATCTAGATGATCCTTTCCAATAAAGTTTTATAAAAGTAAAAAATAAATGCACCTATCTCCAAAGGATTCCTCATCTCTGCTAGGGACTGCAGCTTTTATTTATATTTCAAAAAAGGCATTAATAATTTCAGTACTAATGAACCCAACAAATCAACATATTCAAAGAATAATCATTCAAACTCCCAATGACCTACCATGACAAACAAAATAAGGAGATGAGATAGTGGCCAATGGACACAAGTTCTGGTATCTCAGGAGAAGTAAATTCTAGGAATTTATTCTGGAAAGCTAATTTACAGCATGGTAACTAAAATTTGGACTATAGGACGGAACAATAGAAATTTCCCAAATGATCTAACCCTATATGCTAGCAAGAACTGGTAACTAAGTAAGTTGATGTACAAGATTAGTATCAGACTGTTTCACAATGTTCTTAGAACATATATACAGACAGATTAGGATAGCAAATTGCATACCTTAAATCTATCCAATGTTTATTTGTGGGTTATGGCTCAATACAGTTGGGGGACAAAAAAAAATCATTCAAATAAATTACTACCATAGTCACAACTTGAGCTATAGAAGTTCTTTCCCACAGAAATAAAAAAGCAGGAGGAAACAAAGAAAATAAATCAAAATGGTCTAAAAATTCATTAACTAAGAAAGAACTGAGCTGACCACAGCGGAAACAAATCCAATGTCAAAGATGTCAGACATCAGACAAAGAAAGGGGAGAGAAATAACAGCACTTTTTTATTTTATTTTCATCCTGTTAGTGAGGACAGGTTAGAGATCTAATGTGGGCTCAGCTTTGAAAACTTATCGCATAATGTCAGTCTGTTTATTTTTCTGCACTTTTCCAAGCCAAACTGATTTCTGACTGAATAGTTTCAATAGCCTGTGCAATACAACAGAAGACTCAGAAAGAAATCTCTTAGTTGACCTTTTACATGTAAACTTCATTCATTGATTCTATTGCATTAAATGCTGTCACATTTGTAGAACTGAAAAGAACAATGTCAGTGCCTAGATGTCAAGCCTTGAAAACAGAGAGCTGTCATTTTAAGTTGTCCAATTCTTTGCCCATGATTAAAAAATGAATATTTCAGATCAATGGGTGACAATCCCATTAGAGTGATAGCCTATGATATCAATTACCACTTCAGTTTCAATTTGGCTGGCTGGCCACAGGGTACCATTTCTCAGCTGTACTTGTGATGGGCTGGCTCTGTGAAGCATGACACCCTTAAATTGCTGCCCATTATCCAACTGTCATTACTTGTACTGCCTCAGAATTCTCTGAATCACAAGCAGCTACTGAGGTCAAGCTTTGCAACCAGAGGAATTGGACAAGTTGGCAAATTCTTTATATAAAGGCAAAGTTATTTATCTGACATCTGACTTGGAAAATCTAAAGTTTCCATTATCCTGACAGTATGTCAGTTTTGTGTAGGTATATTGATTTAATAATTTAAGAGGTTTTATCAAGGTGGCAAGGGGTTAAACATATACTGTGTTTGCATTATTCAGAACACTGCTTTGTTTCAGGGTCTTTATCAGGCCAGTAAAGATTTTATTTAATTCCTCTCTATATACAACTAGATATAAAATCATTTCTATAAACATAAAACACTAGAGTTTGACTTTGGGTAAAGCATGTTAAATCTATAAAAAAAGCAAATGAAATGTCCTAGCTGCTATCTTATGTATTCCAAATTTGTGAATCAACTTAAAGAGGAAATTAATTCAAACATGCCTATAAAAATGTTCAAAATGAAGACTTTAAATTTTCTAGTGAGTTTTTGATTTTTACTATCTCCATTCACATTTTCTTGAAATATAATTTGAAAATAGCCATTACCCACACAAGGGTATATACTGTCCTTTTCCTAAGTCAGTCTGCTTCTCTCTCTTTTCCTCCCTCCCTCTAATTCTATATCTGAATGCCTGTAGTTAAATCTATGCTTATTTTTTTTTTTAACAAATTACAACTTTTCTTAAAGAAACCCACTGAGGTTGGTGACCCACAACTATAATCCCAGCATTCAGGAGATGTAGAAGAAAGACTATGGGTTTGAGGGCAGCCTGGGTTGCATACCAAGTTCAAGACTGCATAGGCTAAGCAGTAGGACCTACACACACACATACATACATACATACATACACACACACACACACACACACACACACACACACACAAACATTAGAATTTTTCTGAATAAAACTGTAATATTTCTCAATATTAACTCAATTTTTCATTGAGTCCTATTCTATTCATAAGTTTAAAATGTAAACTCTAGAACAGGATTCAAATGTCTCAAATTAGGGTACTGAGAGTTGGGGGTATGAAGGGCCAGTAAAGTACTGGTAGCCATTTGGACAGACCTGATAAATTTTTTCACAACATAATTTCATTGAGGATTTGGAAGAAAGAACATAAAAATTAAGTTTAGATACATCAACGGGTAAAATACTCAATGAATGTTTAAACACTGATTTTTAACTCCCAAGAAACTGTGTGTTTTCTGAAACAGGTTCTCACTATAAAGCACTGGATGCCCTGAAACTCACTACGTGGATCACACTGTCCTCAGCCCACTGACATCAACTTGTCTCTACCTCCCAAGTTCTGAGACAAATGGTGGGCGCCACCATACCCAACCTCCATGAAATTACTACGTTGTTCCCAATCCATATGCTCAGATAGGTGTGGGGACAGGGGTTGGTAATAGGACAGAGGTAAACTTATTCTCCAATGCCTTTTGTAACATTTCTATTTTTTAAAAAATTTTCCTCAGTTCACTTGAAAATTGGTCATGTTATTTCATCTTATGCAGCAATAATAATACACTTAAAAAGCATTTGAGTGTATTTTTAAGTTGAGGCTAAAAAATACACTTAAAGATCTCAGCAGCTGGCAAAAGCATTCACAGCAGAGTATCATTTAATGAAGAATCTCTTCTTATTATGCACTAATTTTTATTTCTTCAAAATTAAATAAATCAGTATTTTGTTTAAAAAACTAATTATGGTTTGTGTTTGCAAATAGTTAACAAAAACTAAGAACTCATATATTTTATTAAGCTGATTTTTTTCTATAAAAAAGAAAAGCCAATAGTAGGAATGGATTCTAGTAAGAAGCAACACATATCCAAAGTTTATCCTGACTCTATAATCTTATTATAAAATATTATAGTAACTATAATTTTTATTACAACATGAAACCAGACTAAAATAAATACTAGGTTTAAAACCACATAATAATATAAACACACACAAAGTGTATATGTTACTTGAATTATTATTTTGAAAAAGGTTTTCTTAAGATAAGTTTAACAGAAACAGAAAATACAACTAACCCCTCCATTCCTACATTTGACAATTAGCAAGTTATATTTGCTCAACTTACTTTCAATCCATATTTTGAATCTACAACAGTTATGATACCTACAAAGAAATAACAAGGTAGTCAGTCTTTAAAGTTATCAGTTTTATGCAACTATACTTGAGAAGGAAAATTAAAATATCTTCAGTTCACAAATACCATTCAATAAAGTATTATTTCTCTTACCAATGTGGCAAATTAACTCAATCTCAGGAATATGCAAATATGTTTCAAATATATATTGAGTGACTAGCTCTGTTTCTAAGAAACTAGAAAAAAAATTTAAAAATTAAGTCAACAATAAAATAAAACTTCTTTGGTATTTAAAAGTTTAAAGTCCAAACTAAGACTTCAATAATCCATAATTATTCCATAATCATAGAGAAATAAGACAAATTACACGAGAGACAGGCTATTTTTATTTTCACAGTCAAAAAGAGGCTTTTCTAAATATTTAGAGTATTATTTAAAGAATCTGAGACATCTTAAGACATTGTATTCCTAAACTCTGTTAGTACCTAAATTCTCAAAAGATCAATTAGTTCAGCAATTTCTGAACATATATCAAATCGTTTTCAAAAATATAATAGGAGAATGTGATAATGTCTATGAAATTCAACAAGCTACATGCCTAATAAAACCCATCTTCAATGAGTCTTACCCAATAGTCCACATGGCTGGTTTAAAGATATATAAAGAAAGGAGAAACGACAGGGGAAAGTGACTAGAGTTGCTACAATAAGAAAATGGTACCAAGCTTACAAATTTATATAGACTGACAAGAGCTAAGTAGTGTATGTATGTGCACAGCATTCTGAATTCTTTAAATAAAAATGAAAGCAGGAATACGACCTTTCCATTGTCTTCCTGACTACCTACAAAGCTCTAGCATTACACTAAGTGTGTCATGGCAACAGAGGACACATGCAATCTACAGCGCATTCTGAAAGGAAAAGTCTCAGTAGAAGTCCTGGCAGAGTTGAGAGCAATCCCTAACAATCCAGTTTTATTACTGTCGAGGAATTTAGAATCCCAATGATCAAAAATTTGACTCATCAAAAATTAAACAAGTTTAAAAAGAACAATGATATAGGAATTAAAATTGCAATATAAACAAAATGAGTTCAAGCATAAAATAAATCTTACTTTAAAATAAACTACTTTAACTTACCATCAAGATAAATATCACTCCCTAACTCAGCATCAACCCAAAACATAGACGCCACTGCACCTGAAAGTATATAATATGATAATATTCATCAAATATAGTATTTCTTCAATTTGCAAAACACAATTTTATCAGTCCTATTTTTCACCAGTGGAAGCAGCTGCTAAACATACACACAAACTAAACCTACACTTCAATCTTTTTATGAGAATCACAGTGACAGGACTTTTCAAGACCTGCAGTCACCCCATTCCTCTCCCTTTTTCTACAAACAATAAATCTGGGCACTCATCAAACACTCTTCTATTGATGCCAAAATAATTTACCAATAAATATTGTGAAACAATTTGAACACAATAGCTGAGTATACACTGGACTTTTCTTATTTCCTGAATATAATTATTATACAGTTCACAAATAATAAATTTCTCCCAAGGAAAAACAAATAAAACACATTAATTCCAAAAATCACTTGCCCAGAATAAATTCACTTGTAATCTTTATAGAAGAAAAAGAACAAGAAAAATTACAAGTTCCTTGGTGGTACTCACTGCTATATATTTACTTAGTACTGGGCATAAAATTTGCATCTGAAGAAAAATTATTTCTAAGAAACAAATTAAAATTTGTTTTTGACAGGAACTGGTTTAACACAAAACCACACATTCTGATTAGTGTGCCGCAATACAAGAAAAGGAGACTGACAGCAAGGGAAAGCATCGCTGTCCCAGTTAGTGATGGTGCTGTCTAAAAGAATGAGCATAGGGGCAAACAAGGACAACTGAACTCATTCCACTGTCCAAAGCTGTCTACCTACTCTGACAAGATGTGGTCCCGCTAAGCATCACTCTGTGTCAACAGTGAAACACCTGTCAGCTGTTTACAGTGATTACTCATGCAAGACATAGCAAGGGCCACAAGATCTAATGGTTTCCTGATACCTATTGATTTTTTCCCAAAAACTTAATAGTTTTCCAATTTGACTGAAATAGGATTTGTGAGTAACAGGAGCAGAATCAATGTCTGTCCTCTTCAAGAAAATTACTTTACCATGACAATTATTTAGCTAAGAACTGGAGAGTGTCAGTCTCCTAAGCGAGAAACAACTGAATTGCCAATAAGAATTATTTCCACTTTCTTGGCTATAAACATGGTTTTAATTAATAAAGGTGAAAAAGAGTAAATTTACTGCATCATTATACCAAACAATAAGATACAAAAAAGTACTAATTTCTTTACTTAGTCAAATACATAGGTATGTTAGCATCACAGTTTTATAACTTTAAAACCTCACTGCTTTTTATTCAAATAAATGGCTTTATGTCTTACTTCTAATGAGGAGGAATTGTAATGTGCATTAATGATTCTATTCTTTTTTTTTTTTTTTTTTTTTTTTTTGGTTTTTGGAGACAGGGTTTCTCTGTAGCTTTGGAGCCTGTCCTGGAACTGGCCCTTGTAGACCAGGCTGGCCTCAAACTCACAAAGATCCTCCACCTGCCTCTGCCTCCCAAGTGCTGGGATCAAAGGCGTGCGCCACCACCGCCTGGCCTACAGTTTTTATTCTAAACATCACTTGCATCTGATTCAATTTTTACAAGATGCTCAAAAAAGAATGATCTGAACTATAGATGTAGGTGCTTAGGAATAGCAAAGATGAGGGAATGGAGTAGGCGATTCTTCTCCCCAAAGAACATTAGGCAATGTCTGGAGATAATTTTAGTTGCTTCTAGGAATATGCTTCAGGTAGGCAGAACTAGGGATGCTGTTAAACATTCTACAATCTCAGGATAGTATCCCTCACAGAAGATAACTGGCCATCCAAAACATTTGTGTAAAGGCTGAGAAATTCTGAACTATATTGCAGAATCTTTCTTTAAAACCTGATAAAACAAATTTTCATGCAAGTATCAAAATTATATCAGAACAACCAAAAAACAAGTAAAGATCAGCTCCCTAACCAAAAATCTAGAAGTGTAATAGTCAAAGTTAGAAACAAAGTTCTATGTGAATGTAATGGTTTGAATAGGAATGGACCCTATGGGCTCACATATTTGAATGCTTTTTCATTAGGGAGTGGTGCTACTTGGCAACAATTAGGAGGTGTGGCCTTGTTGGAGGAAGTTATGTCACTAGGGATGGGCTTCGGGGTTTCAAATGCTCAAGTCAGGTCCAGTGTCACTCTCTTCCTGCTGCCCGCAGATGCAAATGTAGAATTCTCAGCTACCAAGTCTGCCTATGTGCTGCCATGCTCCCTGTAATGAGGATAATGGACTAAACCAGGGAGGCTGTGAGCAAGTCCTAACTAAATGTTTTCCTTTATGAGTTGTTGTGATCATGGTGTCTCTTCACAGAATTAGAACACTGGCTAAGACAGAACTACTGTGGCCTTTCCTAACTCAACTCCCACCCCCAAAAGAGGTTACAGAAGAATAGTTTACAAAATCCTAATACTAATCAGAAACATCTTCCCAAAAGACAAGATGTAGGACTAACTGGAAAGCAATAAGGGAGGGAATGTCAATGATAACAACAAATATTTAAAGACTAAAAAAAGTGTTAGTCACTTCTATGTCAGAAGTTGTTTTGTAAGACTAAGAGCAAAAGGAAGAAGAGCTATGAGGTCTAATGATACCCCCACAGCAGCAAGGATTGATTATGTACTATTAGGTGAGTGTAGTAAACACAAGATATCCACACTGGATATTCGAGGCCAGAAGCTAATAGTCACTTTATCTCATCTGTCTGTCTGGTCACCCATTTCCATTAGCTTCCCTCTTTATGTGTCCCAATAATAATCAGCTTTCAAACTGGGGCTCAAAAATTTTGGAGGGGTAAGATAGTGAAGATATTAAAAGGAATTCCTCATCAATGCACACAGGTAAAAGACAGTCCTCTGACCTTCCCATACCAGACACAAAAGTACAACATGTGATTTCAGCAGAGGAAAAGAAATACAGATATTATTCTGCAAGGAAACAATTCAATAAAGCAAATAAAATTTGAAGTAGCTCTTTATAGCAAAAAACCTGAAAGCAATACAATACAAAAACAGGCTTGAAGACAAAAAGAGCAGAACAATAATCTGAGGCCTTGTATCACTATGTTTAGAATCAATTTAATAGCACCATTGTTTGGTCAATAAATTAATTTACAATAGTTAGAAACAGATAAGAAACGAGTATGAGGAGGATTATTGACACAAGGAAAGCATAAGATTATCAGAGTAAACGTGGATGCAAAAGATAAATCAGAACAATTAAAATAGGGGTTACAGTATAGCTTAGTGGTAGAGCACCTACCTAAAATGTGCAAGGTACTCAAAAACAGAAAGCTAGAAGCCAGAGAGATGGCTCAGCAGGCAAGGCTGCACCCTGCTGCTAATACAAGTATTAGCCCTAAACCTAATACTTGTGTTCCAGTCCCAGGACCCACATGGTGAAGAGAGAACTGACCAATATGGTGGAGAGAGGGCTGACTCCTGCAGACTGTCCTCTGAACTCCACACATGTACCACAGCACACACCTTCATATTCATTCTCACTTATTCATTTGCTCTCCCTCTCTCACCCCCTCAAGCCCCTTTCCTTGCAATCAAAAACATATAAACAAATCAACATAATTTAAAAAGGAAAATTAGACCAGTTAAAAGAACAAAATAAAATTCATTATGAAGAAAAGTGGTCTCATTAATATAGAACCAAATAATATGACAGAAAAAAAATTCACAATAATAAAAAGTGAAAATGTCCTTAAATAAAGTGTAGGAAAAAAAATAACTGAAAATAAAAACAAATTCCCACATTTTTATCAGATCACATCTGTTTGGGGCCTGACATCAGTAACTTTTGATATATTATACAAACATTAGGGTCTAATTATTTTTAAAAGTTTTTATGTGTATGAGTGCCTTGCACGATATACATGCTTTGGAGGGCAAATTGGCTAGAAGAGGGCACTGAATCCCCTAAAACTGGAGTTACAGACGGTTATGAGCTGTCCTGTGAGCTCTGGGACTAAACCTGGGTCCTCTGGAAGAACAACTCGTGCTCTTAATTGCCAAGCCATCTTTCCGACCCCCGGAGCCTAATCTTAATGACCAATGATGTCCTACCCAATCTCAAGAGCACCCATGTCAGGTAGCTCACAATCACCTGTAACTCCAGTTCCAAAGCATCCAACACCCACTTCTGGCTTCTTTGGGTAATTATACACATATGACACACACTCATATAAACACACACACACACACATAGATACACATAAAAATAAATCTTTATAAAAAAATAACTTATTCCTACCAATAACTCTAAATCAATTAATACAATTTTAAATTCTATTAACAGCTTAACCATCTCAAGAAGTACACTGACAACTCTTATGTGACACAAGCTAGAATTTCTCATCCTTTGAACGATGGCAAAAATTAAATGCAGAGAAAAGCGCTAGCGCTGCTGAAATGACTCAACAGGTAAAGCACTTGCCGTGCAGGAGTCAAGGCTAGACCCAAAACGTCCATACAGAAGCTGGGTGGGCATGGCCACCTACCTGCAACTCCATCATAGGGAAGTAAGTAAAGAGACTGAAGATAGGGAATTTCTGAAGCAAGCTGGATAGCCAAACCAGCAAAAGTGACAAGCTCAACTCTTTGCTCACTGAGAGACCCTGCATCATCAATACCTAAGGTAAAAAGCCCATTCACATTTGAATATGCATAATACATGGATGTGTACCACATAAACATATGCAAAAAAATAAAGTTTTAATCTCATTTTAACTATCTCTCTAAGGCATCAAAGAACTATATGCTGGTTACTAATAATATCATTTCTTACCAGGATCTGCTAGTCCAGTGGTCTCTAGGAGTATGTAATCAAATTTCCCCTTCTTCTGCATCAGATTCTCTATAGCTCTAAGGCCATTGTCCCTGAGAATACAAAAAATACAGTAATAACTGACTACCCAAACATTTTGAAATAGTCACAACACAACACAAAAATATTTTCAGATACACACAAATTTAACTCCTTAAGCTTCTAATAAAATGTCCAATATTTAACAATGACAAGAAGAAAACAAGTGCAAATATAGCAGAAATGATGTGTGTGTGAATTTTTTTATTAAAACTAAAGGCAAAGAGAATGTTATCTAACAAAAGTCAATATTTATCTTACAGATTTATAAAAGGAAACCAGTATAAATAATGATGAAGTTTATCGTTTAGAGTAGTTCAATATGAAATTAAAGGAACATTGTTGCTGCAAACCTTTTAACTCTAGTCTGAATTAGGGTATAGTGTAATTTCCTTAAAAAACAAAACAAAACAAAAAAACTCTCATTATGCAGTTCAACCTGACCTGGAACTGTCAATCTTCCTCTTCCACCTCCCAAATGCTGGGATTACAGGCTTTTATTACCTATTTTTTATTCTTAATACGAAAAGTTAAGGTAAATATCAATGTGGTGCCTTTTGGTTAAGAAAATATGTATAACTACTTCCTCTTTCCAGAAAATTGTGACTCGGTGTCAAACATCTACAATTGTAAATAACACAGGAGAACCTCATTATAATATAGAAAAATCAGAAGCACATGCAGTAATTATGATGATTTATCCAAGAGCTTATTTTATCAGAAAATTTATCCAAGTTGCTGTTTTATGTCAGGTACTCTTCTAGGACCAATGATAGCTTAGGAAACTAAAAAGACACTGCCCATGGAAACTTAAGTAGTAACCTAACCACTTAACATATTTAACATAAGGTTCTTTCCCTGTTTCTGTGTGTTTATATGTTAATACTCGGATCTGAACACAGAGCCACATATATGCTAAACAAGCAAGCTAGTAATGAGTTACATTCCCAATCCTCCTTTTACTTTTTATTTTGAGATAGGATATCATTAAGTTGCCCAGGCTAGTTTTGACTCACTTGGTAGCCCAGGCAGGCCTTGAATTTGGGATCCTCCTGCATCAGCCTCTCAAGTAGCTAGGATTACAAATCTGTATCACCAGGCTTGGCTGATTCTTCCCTTTCTTATGTGTTTGTGTGCGTAGGCATTGTGATGTGTATGTGCACATGTGCACATGAAGAGGACATGTTGGTGTTTTTCTCAATGGCTTCCCACCTTATTTTTTCTCATAGGGTCTCTCACCTAGACTGCCCGGCCAGGGAACTACAGGAATCTACCAGTCTCCCTGCCTACCCAGCACTGGGATTACAAACTCACACTGCCCTGCCTGGCTTTCCAGGTCAGTACTTGGGTCCTCAAGCTTGTGTAGGAAGCACTTTTTTCACAGACATTTCCCAGCCCATGGTTATTCTCTTTTATGACATTTATTTTTTACTTTAAAGAGACTTGAAGCAGCCGGCGAGATGGCTCAGAGGTTAAGAGCACCTAACACTCCTCTGCCAGAGGACCCAGGTTCGAGTCCCGTCTGGCTCTCCAATGACGTCAGTGATCGATAAATCGCTATCAAAAATTGGAAAAAAAAAAGTTTTAGGGAGGCAGGGAGGAGGTGGAAATTTTTAATAAATAAATAAATTTAAAAAAAAAGAGACTTGAACACTTAGGGGTTGGAGACATGGCTCAGTGGGTAAGAACAATTGTTAATCTTCCAGAACAGAGTTCAATTCACAGCATCCATATGGTGGCTCACAACTGTCTGTCACTCTAGTTTCAGGCATTCAGTACCCTCACTGGACTCTGTGGGCACCATGCATGAATATGGTACACAGGCATACATGCAGGCAAAACACCAATACACAGAAAATAATTTTTTTAAAGAAAAAAGGAGGTTGAATACTTGGAAATAAGACTAATGACATATTAAATTCAGAATAATCTTTTTCTACATGTGAAATAAGACTCTGAAATAATTTTTAAAAATTCAGTGAAAGAATAAGAACAACAAAACAAATAGAAATTAATAGCAAGAAACACTTTAAAAAAAGCACAACCTAATAAATATATATCCTGCCCAAAAATACAATGGCACAAGCTATGTAAGTAAATTCAGTTAAATTACACAGGAAAATCAAAACTGGAAATATAATCAACAGACATCTTAAACCAGCCAACAAGCACACAGTAAACCCACTCCTTACTTCACTGAACAGCAGAGACAACCATTTCTAAGTTCCAGCCACTCTTCATAGAGTTCTCCACCTTGACTGATGGATAAGGATTTCTCTACTGCACTCCCTAGAAACAGGAACAGGCAGTGTTTAGATTACATTCGCTAGCCAAGCAAAACCAGAAGGATGTTCAGAAACAAGAGTACATTCCAATGAAGAAACTATAGCTTAGAACATGTATTCTTTTATAACTCTAAATCAATCAATCAAACTTCAAATTCTATTAACAGATTAAAAGTTTCAAGAACTTATTGATGATTCTTCTGTGATATAAACAATAATCTCTCTTCTTTTGAACAATAAAAAGTAAACCTAAAGTCAGTGTTTAATTCTGTAAATATTTAAATTATGGTACTCTAGATGATTTTAACTTTTCTTTCTGTAAGCCTTAAACAGAGCCAGGTATTGCATACACCTATAATCCCAACACTCAGGAGCCTGAGGCTGAAGGATGCGATATTAAGACACATCTGGGCTCCAAAGGAATTTACAGATCAGCCTGGGCTACACAATGGGACTTTATCTCAAAATGTAAATAAACAATGGCTGAACAGATTGGCTAGTGGTTCAAAGCATTTGCTGCTCTTGCAGAGCACTGCAGTTCAGTTCTAGCACCCACACTGCACATCTGACAGTTGACAACTACTTCTAATTCCAGCTCCAGGGGATGTAAGGTCCATGTCTAGCCTCCAAAGGGCCTGCATACAACGCACACACACACACACACACAAAATAATTTTAAAAAGTTTAATGAACAGAGGCTGAAGAGATGGCTCAAAGCTTAAGAACACTTGCTGCTCTTGCAGAGGACCTAGAGAGTTGATTCTCAGCACCCACACGGCAGTTCACAACTGGCTATAATTTCAGTTCCAAGGTAGCCAACACCCTCTTCTCCAGTCATGAGGCATTCATGTGGCGTATAAACATACATGCAGGCAAAACACTTATACACATAAAATATTTGTAAAATATTAAATGATTTAAGCTTCTAAGAAGACAAATCCAAGATTAATAAACACATCTTCTTCCTCCTTCAGACTCTTACTTGTCTGATTCCATTTAATAGAGGAGCTACTCTGAAGACATTTTTCTTCTCATCCATTGTAAACTTTCTAATTATACTGATAGGCTTTTTAAATACTGGGTTTTGTAAATTCTTCAACCTCTTATGAGATTATTTTCCTTTTAATTCCTCACTAAATTGGTGGTTTCTGTTATAAGATTGCTTCTAAATATACTTTAAAACCCTATTTCATTCTAACAAAGGTTTTTAAGCCATTTAAAAAGTCATCTAAAAATTACCTTTTATTCAAATAAAAGGTCTCTTAGTAAGTTTTACCTGGGAAATAAGTACACATGGGATGTTTATCAAAAATAATAGGTTTAGATGTTTTACAAACAATGTACCTATAGTGATATTTTATGTTTTATTTTTTTTAACTTTTTCTTATTTATTTATTTATTTATTTATTTATTTATTTATTTATTATGTATACAATATTCTGTTTGTGTGTCTACCTGCAGGCCAGAAGAGGGCATCAGATCTAATTTCAGATGGTTGTGAGCCACCATGTGGTTGCTGGGAATTGAACTCAGGACGTTTGGAAGAGCAGGCAATGCTCTTAACCGCTGAGCCATCTCTCCAGCCCCCTTTATGTATGATTTAATAAATAAAGCTTGTCTGAAGAACAGAGGGCAAAACCAAGCCACTAGAGGACAGACAGGGGTGTCATTCCTGCCTTTAATACCATGATTTGGAAGACTGAGGCAGATGAATCTCTGTGAGTTCAAGGCCACCCTGGGCTACACAGGATTATCACAGAAATAAGTCCAGGTTGTGGAGGCTCACACCTTTAATCTCGGTACTAGGAAATCACACGCCTTTAATCCCAGCACTAGAAGAGAATATAAAACGAAAGAAAACAGAGACTCAGGGCTCAGTCTGCAGTCGCCCAGCCTTGGTAGAGTTAAGACTTCTCTAGTGCCTGGCTGTTTTGCTTTTCTTATCGTCGGCTTGAACCCCAATATCTGTCTCTGGATTTCTATTATTTGTGTTACCAATGTCACAGAAAATTTTTAAATTAAAAAAAAAGATTTTCCTTTTACATTTATGCATTTTCTATTCATATTTTAGTTGGGTGATGATAGAGTTTCACATAATTCATCATCATCACTCATTAAGCCCCAGCAATGCTTAAGCACGCGTGGGGAGCCTGTTTATGGCGGTTCTCCAGTTGTTCCTATTCTGGGCAGTCCTAGATGCTTGTGTTATTGTCATACCCAAGGTTCCACAGTCTTCCTCTATGCTGTCTATCCTGCGTTTTTGGGCCTTCCTCTTTGCCTTCTCCCATGCACTCCTCCAAGCAGTGCTATCTTTGGGTACCTGCCATTACTCATTCTCATAACAAGGTCCGAAGTATCTCAAGCGCCATTGTCGTATCCTGTAGTTTACTTCCTTCTGTAGATGGAGATGCTGTTTCTTAATGTCCTCATTGCACATCCTGTCTCTTCATGAGACGCCTAGAATCCTCCTGAGACATGCCATCTCAAACACATTCAGCTCCTGTCTGAGGAGCGTTTCATTGTCCAGGTTTCAGAGATGTAAAGTAGGCAGCTCAAGACAAGGGTCTCATATACTTACAATTTTGTTGTTGTCATTATGTCTCTTGCTGACCAAACCTTTCCTAATGCCTGGAATGTAGCCCTCGCTATCACTACCCACCTCTTGACGTCTAAAATAGTTCTCTCCTCTGAGCTGAGGTTTCCTCCCAGAAGACAAAGTTGACTGTTTAAGGTTCTGATTCTTTATACAGTGCTAAAATCCCGTGCGCCCTTCCCATGTGTTGTATCTCAGTCTTCTCGATGTTTACTTTCATACCAAGGTTTTTACTTTCTTCCACCACTCTATTTACCATGGCCTGCAGCTCATTTGGAATTTTAGAAAGTAGTGCTGTATCATCGGTGAAATGCAACACACGGATTCAGAGCTAACAGGAGCACAACTGATCAGATCTTCACTTTGAGGCAATTGGCAGAAAAATACGAAGAATTCAGTAAAGACTTATATGTCTGTTATATCAACTTCAGGAGGCATTCGATAGCATTTGGAGGAAAGAACTTTGGGAAACAATGAGGTTCTACAGGTACCCAGAGAAAACCATAAGAATACTAGAAAATGCTTATAAAGTTATCTTTGCATTAGTCAAAGTCTATGGAGAACTAAGTGATGAGTTTAAGACAATCATAGGAGTATTACAGGGATGCGTCCTCTCACCACTACTCTTTAATATATTCTTGGAATTTATAAAAGCAACAGCCCTGGAGGATGAGGAGATAAGTGTGCAGATCAACAACTGACAGGTGTGTGAATCAATAACTTGCATTTCACCAATCATATAATACTAGGCTATATAAAACATTAAAAAGTACTGAGGATGTTGCAAAAAGCAAAACCATAAAAACTACACAAAATGAAGAAAAACAGTAAGAAATAATAAATAAAACCAGTGTACAAAGAACTACCTATTAATAAAAAGCTGGAAAAGGACTATTAGACTCTTCCAATTATTAATAGCTAAAAGCATAGTTCAGAAAGAGAGAGAGAGAGAAAGAACTTTCTTAGTATACAGAAAACCTTGCACCACAATCAGTCAGTCTCTTTAGATGTATTTTACTTACTATGTATGGGAGAAGGATTTGTGTTTGATGTGGGCGAACTGTATGTGAAGGTCAAACTTTTGGGAGTTGATTCTCGCCTGGCTGAGCCATAGTCTCTCTTTTTGCCTTTACCACCACACTGCACACTCCAGGCTAGCTCCCACTACACTGTATATTCCAGGCCAGCTCCCACTACATTGTATACTCCAGGCTAGCTCCCACTACATTGTATACTTGTGGAGGGCCGGACCACATTCTCCATTGCTTCAAGGAACAAAGGTAGAGATTGACCTCTGTGACCCCAAGGTGTGGCGGTACACGCCTTTAGTCCTGATGCCTGGGCGGCAGAGGCAGATTGACCTCTGTGACCTCAAGGCGTGGTAGTACACGCCTTTGGCCCCTATGCCTGGGAGGCAGAGACAGGCAGATCTCTGTGAGTTCAAGGTGATGTAGCACACGCCTTTAATCCCAGCGCATGTGCTTGGTAACTCTCTACTGCTGCGTCCCTGCCTACTCCCGAGGCATCATCTGGGATAATGGGCAGTGGACCAATCCAAGAGTGACACGTCAGAAGCGAGGACTGTTTCCTTTATAAGGGCTGGGTTCCCCTCATTCTGGGTCTCCGCCATGTAAACTTATGCTCTCCCTCTCAAGACGCATAAAGCTTTACTGCAGAAGAATCCTAAGTGTCCCGCGTCGTTCTTGCGGGCGAGACGGTAGCGCGGGACATATACTCCAGGCTAGCTCCCACTACATTGTATACTCCAGGCTAGCTCCCACCATGACACTGTATATTCCAGGCCAGCTCCCACTACACTGCACACTCCAGGCTAGCTTAATAAAAAGTAATCCTAATTTTCTGAAACTATTCATAGTGACCTCATATTATAATACCATCCAATCTAATTTTCACCAGTAGAATAGAGGGTCCCAAGTATTATTGCAACATGACAGTTACTGAACTTTACTTACCCTCTCCAAATTCATTTAAAATAACTGCTATTTTTCTATTATGTTGTTCTGTCAAAATGTAGTTCAGAAGTGTTGTCTTTCCAGCACCTATAAAATATATTAAAGCAACAAAACTCAAAAACTAAGTTTCAAGACATATCTATCAACAGAGGACTTTACAGGAGAGATTAGAACAATTTTTAAAAACTATCATAATATTCCTTATGTATATTTTGTAAATAATTACAAATAATCTTACAAGTTGAGTTAGTTTTCTAACTTAATATGATTAAAATATGCCTTCATCATAACTTATAATACAGCAATAATGGACATCTAAAATTTATACTTAATAAAAACTTAATGAATTACGGTTTCTAAGAAATGTCACTTCTAAAATAAAAAACTATGTAGATTTCTTACATCATATTCCCTTTCTCAAGTAAGAATACTTGGTTACTTCCCTAATCTTACTCAACCTGTTTCAATGTCCATGAACTAGCTATAAATTCAGGTTGACTGTAAAGCTACTTTTAGTATGCATAAGCAGTCTTTTACCATAAAACTGATTTTATAAAATGGGGTGCAGAGATAGTAAGCAGCAGACTATTCAGTCGATAAATTCATAAACTACACTCACTTTATCCAGCAGGTGGCACAATAAACCTAATTTGTTCATCTCAAGCAGAAGGAAAACATTAATCTTATGAACCCAAGATTCCAAATTTCATAATGGAATATTGTTTTTAAAAATCAGCAACACCTTAACTTCACAGCAGTGTAGTTTCATTATTGGAATGTATCATTCACTTTTCTGTAGGCAGACATTCTGACAGTCTCCAACGTTTGACTGTAGCAAGCAGCCATGCTAAAAAGCTCTACACAGAGTTTGCACAAACCTACTAAAACACATTTGCCAGTTTCCTAGGGTCTAGCTAGGAGAAAGTTAGGGAGTACCAGGGTACTAACAGTTTCAACATTTCATGTTATTTTCCTTTTAAGAGTTTTTGAAGAGGTGACAATTTATTCTTAAAATGCTTTGAGAAGCTCAACATAAATGGGTGGCATGTAAGGAGAGCCAGGTTTAAGAACACAGAACAATGAGGAAATTCTTAAAACAAGAGGCCCTGAACATAATTATGTACAGGCCAATGACAAAGTAGAAACCTATGAATGTAAGGTATTTCCTCCAAAGAATTATTAGAGCTTAATAATTAACCATGCTATGAAGAAAAAAAAAATCAAGATATAATTGACATTCATTCAAAGTATCTACTGTGCACCAAATTTAAGGCTCTGCCTCCATGGATCTTAAAAATGTTAGTGGGGCAGGGTGGAGAACTTAGATATGAATTAGGAAGCTATTTTGTTGCAAGTTGATCATTCAACAGGAGACATACGAAAGACTCCAGAGGACCTAAGAGGGCTATTTAGCCAGAGCAGTTACAGGAAGAAATATTCCAAGGAGAACCTTTAACACAGCAGTTCCCAGTCTGAGAGTCACGACCCCTTTGGAAGTCAAAAGACCCTTCCACAGGGGTTGCCTAAGACCATTCTGCATTTCACAGATATTGACGATATGATTCACAACAGTACCAAAATTACAGCTGGAAACAGCAATGAAGTTCATTTTATTTGGGGGTCACCACAACACGACCAACTGTAGCAAAAGGATGTAGCATGAGGAAGGTTGAGAACCACTGCTTTAAAAAGATGAGTTCAATATGTTGGGCCATCTGACAGATGAATGAGGAAGGCAAGAACCAGATCAGAGGTTCTTGAACTCCTCCTTGGGGACCTGAACTTTCATCCAAGTGGGGCCACTAAAGGGTGTGACACAACCAAGCCAACACTTTGTAGAGATCACTATGGCTAGCATCAGCACATGGCTATCCTAAGGAGCAGGGAGACTCGGGACTACTGTAGTTAGGAGATAATATCAGTGCGGCAGGTGGCTGGGAATCTCAGAAGCAGGGTTTGAGGAGATACTAGCATATGGAGTGTGGGACATGTGAAGTCTGGAGCTGTCTGTAGGACATCAAAACAAACTATACAGAAATGAAAGGAGAGGGTGGAAGCTGGAGCAATCAGTCAGAAACTAAGAAGGAAATGTAGGAGACCTGGACAATAGTGTTCCCAAGTTTTCAAAAAGAAAACAGTAGCAAAGGAGGCACAAGGAGCCAACACCAAGGAGGTTGCTGGGGTTAGTCCTGACCCCCAGAGCTTCAGACCTTTGCCTGCATTGCTCCTTTCACCTAGCAGTAAACAAAGTGCAGAAAGGCCAAAGGGCAAGTGTGAAGTGTGCTCTTTGAACGAGGAATTCACTCGACTTGGATGAAGCAGCCTCAGAATCCAAAACATTATTCCCTTATAAAAATTAGGTCCAAGTAAAATCTTGAATATACTTGGCCTGACTGGATAAGGGGAAAAGCAACTGGTGGTGGGCAGCACCAGTGATTTCTTAGTCATCTGTGAGGTGTGCCAAGTACCAGCTTGTGCCCTGCAGCCCACAGGACTGAGAGCACTTTTTGGTCACTTACTTATTGAGGCCCTGTACCTGCACTATTTTAAAAGGCTATTTGTAAACGGTTTCAACAAAAAATAGGCACATCAACTGTCTTTCAGAAATATGCACCATGTTTACAAATCTGTGTTTTCGGGTAACCCCTGTGTGCCCCCAAAACCCCAGCTTAAGAAAGACTTCAAGGCAAAGATTTTATTCTTAGGCCATGCCCTACAAGGCTTTGCAAGCAACCCTGGAAAGGAGGGTGGGGGCAGTTTACAACAGTAAAAACTTCCCACTAATGGCTGGAAGATTTTGGTTCCTGTCAAGTGCAATCACCTGAGCTAAGCAAGGTGTGAGGCATTTTACATACAAGGCATCTTATTTTTTTTCTTCCATTTTTTTTCTTGATCGGGGCATCTTTTAATAACAATACACGGTTGGGTTTTGTTGTTGTTTTTCTCAGATGAGAAAACAAACTCGGGCGACTTTTATTATTTTTATTCTAAATTGACTATTTTCATTCTAAAATGAGGTGAAGGCGCTTCACAAGGAGAAGACAGAGAAGAAGACGCCACAAGGACAATAAGGTGAGTCTGGGTTTCAAAACCACCTTTGAAAAACGCGAGGAGAAAGAGACCCAGCCCTACCTCGAAGACATTCGTCCCCGGGCAGGAGGTCCGGGTGCCTGAGGAGACACGGCAGACCCCCTCAGAGAGCACAGTTCATGGCCTTTTCGGAGCGACTGTTAATTACCTAAATACCCGGTGATAATTGTGACTGGAATCTTAATGATGAAGTCAAGATTTTCCGCTTCTTGGTTGTTGGTCTCAATGGGGACCAATTCAGGACAATCCTCCGCGTACTCCTCTTCCGCCTCCACAGTTTTCATAGCCGGTAACATGCCACCGGCAGCACACCGCCCTCAGAGAAAAATCTGCCAGTCTCCCTCCTGCGACTGCATCCAGTCGGCGCGGAGCTGATTACGTCACTGCAACGCGACGCGTAGCCTTCTAGCCCCGCCCCTACGAGAACTAGACACGCCTTCCCGGGAAGGCACGCCCCTAAGCAGAGATGGGCACGCCCACCCACGCTGTGGGCACGCCCCACAAACGGCAGGACACACCCCCGGATGTGAGACAGGCTGTAGGGGCGTGTCCTCTGTGGGTGAGCCGAGCTGCAGTGTGCCGTTAGAACGCTAGGAGCTCTCTTCCTCCGAGCTGTGGAGGGCTACTGGTCTGTTGTTGCTAGGGCTGAGGCTAGACAGGTTAGGAATTGGAGCGGCTTCACCAAAGCAGTTCCCACAGGACAGATTTTCTCAAGTTGACATCTTTTTACTCTCAATAAGTCCATTTTTTTTTCATTCGCAAGGAAAAGAATGATTATGAAAAGTCATGCTATGAATTGTAACTTTTCTATCGGAAGGATAACTAGTGAAACTTTTTACAATTATAATTACATATTATAGCTATCTGATCTTTTACAATGTAATAACATTAGTTTTGTTTACTTTTGTTATTGTTATTTACTTAGACATCAGTTAAAGTAAATTCACTATTTTATTTTTGATTCATAATCTTATTAATCCAAGGAGAACAGTCCTTTGTATTTGTTTATTATGGACTCCTTGACAGTATCCTAACCCAAAAACATTAAATTGCACCTTTTCTATTCCAACCTAGAATCATAAATTTTATAACTAAATCATAATAACTAAAATCATGAATTTGCTTGGAATTGCTGGACATTTCTTTACATATTTGTTTTGTCCTTATACACATGGACATAATGTTTAATTTTGCTTGTTTTTCAACTTTATAAAAAGAGTACCGTACAATGTATATAGTCTCTTGGGAGTTGCTGTATTTCCAGCTGCACTACTGAATTTCCTGTCAATTGTTTTCAGGTGTTGCTGTTTTGTTTTATATTGAGACATTCATACATTTTCCCAACAATGTAAGAGACTGTATTGATCTAGTGCCAGTATTAGCAGACATTGATCCTGTACCAATTACATACAAAATAATAGCCCAATGTGACCACAGTTGCATTTTGTTGGTTTACAAACAATATTGAGCATCTTTTTTATGTGTTTTGGCCATATTTAATACTTGGCCTTAGGATGACACTTCAGGCCAGAAGCAATGCTGTGTCAAAATGAGCCTTTACTCAGAGTAAAAAGAGTTTGTTATAAAATCTTATTTTAACTAGCAAAGATGGGTTATATTTGTTTATGCTGCTGAGCAGAGTATTTAACTGTGTAAGGATGTGTTACTTTTGTTTATGTTGCATTTGTTTAATTATGAAAAGATGTGTTGCATTTGTTTCACCTTGTCTGTCTGAGGTACCTGATTGGTCTAATAAAAAGCTGAACAGCCAATAGCTAGACAGGAGAAAAGATAGGCAGGGCTGGCAGGCAGACAATAAATAGGATGAATCTAGGCTCAAGAGAGGAGACAGAAGAGCGAGAGGGAGACATGTGGTGATACTTTGTTTGTGCTCTGACAACTAAAGTTTGCTTAAAGATCAGAGAGTGAAGCTAGCCACCAGTTAACCGTAGAGGCCAGACAGTTTATCATTAAGACCAATTAGATTCGCTCTACAGAGATGCTTGGGGCCAGAAGGCAGCCAACCAGCCAGCCTTCAGTAAGCCAGACATAGAGACAGTGAGAAAGTTAAAAAAAAAAAAAAAAAAGCCCCAAGGCAAAAGGTAGATAAAGAGAAACAGGTTAAATTAAAAAGAACTAGACAAAAAAACATGTCTAAGCTAGGTCAAGCATCCAAACTAATAATAAGTCTCAGTGTCATGATTTGGGAACTGGTTGGTGGTCCAAACAAAAAAGGCTGTATACAATAAGAGTTATATACATTGGGTGTTCAATGTACCTCAAACACCCACCAACTGAAAGACAAACAAAGTGGTATATCCACACAGGGAAAATTAATTGGCAACAACCAGGCACAAAGTACTGGTGGCCTGCTACCAGGAGAACAAATCTCAAAAACATGCTAAAAATAAAGCCATTCACAGAGACCGCACATTGTGTAAATTCATTTATATAGTATGTCCACAATAGGCAAATCGAGAGAGACAGAAAACAGACTAGTGGTTGCTAAGGAATGGGGGTTTTTCATTTCTGATAGGTACCATGTATTTTTATAGTAATAAAAATGGTCTGAACTTGATCATCATTATGGTAGAACAACTCTGGATTCACTGAAAACCATTGCATTGCACACATTAATTAATCAATTTTATCTCTTAACTATTTTTTTTTAGTTAAGGGCCATTATGTACTCAAATTTGGGGGAGTTGTTTGTTTTGTTTTTCACAGAGAATTGGTGACTTTGCCAGTTTAAAGTTCTGACCTCAGGTTCAAACAGAAAGCTTACAACTTGATAAAATTGTTCCTTTAGTCTTTTTGCATATTCCTCTCTAATAAAATAATTATCCATTTAATCTATGAATCTATTTTCTTCTCTCACTCTAGTAACTAAGCAGAATTCAGCGAGCACATTCCTGAAAAGTGAGGTTTTAATCTATTAAATCTTTAATCTATTAAATCTAGCCTCAGTTCTAGGTAGCTAGATCTGACTTTATCACTTCAATTACAACAAAAGGTTTACCATTTTTCAATGAATCTTTGTGGCTATTGTTTAATTTAAATGTCCTTTAAAGTAAGTAAAAGCAATTCCTGCAAATAATATGGTAGAATGTATCACAGTTTTTTATTTATCTTAAAATTCTATCAACACTTAGCTTTATTATTCTTATTTCATCTCAATAGATTTATGGTAAAACAACAATAACAACAATAATTACAATGTGTAGCATCCTTACTGTCTAATGAATATTTTATTAAGCATATTAAATACATTTAACTCTATGGTAAATACTACTTGTATGCCCACTTCATAGATGGGAAACTCAACTTAGGAAATGAATATTATGCTCAAGGTCATACTAATAGTAAGTGACAGTTCTGTGGCTCACTGTCTGGCCAGAAATTCCATGCTCAGCCAACCCAGGGATCTGCAAGCTTTAAAAACAACAAAACAAAACAAACAGGTAATAAACACTTTAAACTTATCAGACCCAAAAGCAAACACAGGGACAATGTGTAAGTATAATAAAGGAGAAGACATATTTCTATGTCTTTAAAACGTAAATTTCAGTTTATTTAAAATGTGCAAGACATTCATCACTTGTAGTCTACACAAAAGCAAGGGAGGCTATGGTTTATCAATTCCTGATCCAATAGGATGTAATATTTTCTTGCGCTGTGCTAAATAAAGTTTAGTGACAAGAGCTCACTATCTTAAATTTGAGTTATAAATCTCTCAGCATTTCAACAAACTCTTGCTCAGCAGTTTGTGCGTCACAATTACCATAAGCCTAGCAACATCCAGAAGAGGAAGAGGAGCTCAGAAGTAATGTAAATTATTACATTATTCCTGCCTGGCTGATGAGAGATCTAAGTTGGATAGTATGTGATCTTGTCACAGTAGGATTCCTACTAGTGAGGGGCAAAGCAGAGAAGCTCCCAGGGAGCCTAGATTCTAGCAGCTCAGCTTTGGGACAGTCACCCTGCTGTACCAAAGTCCTAGGGGATATTCCCTGTCAATCCCATTGCCTCATTTTCCTCCCTTGAATAGTTGCATCTGTCGCCAGGAGCGAAGATAAGCATTGTGACAATGTCTAAACCAGAGGGAAAATAATGCCATCTCCCCTTTCTTTTTTCTCTGTGTTTTGCAACTTCCTGCAAGGGCACACTCATGGCCAGCAATAGCTACTGGCTTAGAGAAAAGGAAACTGAGAGTTTCACAATCAGCCCACTTCTTCTTATTTAGCAAATAAATAGACAAAGTATTTTTATAGATATTTAATGTTTACCAGTTTGCTTAATGCATTTTTTGAGTGCACATGAACATGTTAGGAACATATCTGAAAGACCTCAGAATAATGGCAGCTATTCTTGCGACTGCTTTACTTAAGGTTGACTACTGGTATTCTGTACTTGATAATTTTGTGTTAAAATATGCAACCACTCTAAAGAAAAAAATCTCCTCACTAGAATATTGCAATTGGCTGGCAGATGAAGTATGTATATTTCCATATTTTAGAAGGTACGACCTTCAAAGGCTACTGGTAATACTTTTGAACTTTTTTATCTTGCAGTGGTTGAATAACGCTTAGCTTACATGCCAGTCACTTATAAAGTCAGCTTCCAACCGGGTGTGATGATGCATACCTTTAATCTCAGCACTAGCAAGGGAGGCAAAGGTAGGTGAATCTCTGTGAGTTTGAGGTCAGCGTGATTTACAGTAAAGTGAGTTCCAGGACAGGCTCCAAAGCTACATAGAGAAATCCTGTCTCGCAAAACCAAAAACCAAAAACCAAATGAACAAACAAACAAAACAACAACAACCAAAATCCAGCTCCCTACAAATTCAAAGGCAAACCAAAACATTGCTGAAAGCCTGCAGATAGACTGGGTGGAGTGGTGTTGCACTATTGTCTCTAAGATAGAGCACCAAGCCAGGAGCTACCTTGAGCAACACAACAAAAAGAAAGTGAAATCGTTTATGTTGTAATAGCTTAGGGAGCTAGCTTAAGCAATAGCTTAGCAAGAGAAATTTGAAGCTATCATTTGTGGCTTCAGATCTTACTTTCTAATATTTACAGATTTAAGGAAGTTTCCTTCAAACACGCAGGTGCTTGCTCACTACTTCTTCAATGTAAATTTAAAAAACATAGAAATGAATGAAGCCTCTCCACCTTTCTTCCTCACGCTCCGGTCCCTGAGCCTCACTTAACAAATATTGTGTGTGCTACCTGACTTAGAGACCCCGGTCTTCAGATTCCTCCAACTCCCTCTGTGTAAGTTCCCCACTGTCTTAGTTCCTCCAGGCTATTAGAACAGAACACGGATTAGGCAAACTTGTAGAAATTTACTTCACACAGTTATAGAGACCATGAAGTCCAAG